CAGTAAGTCATGAGCGTGAGCTCCGGACAATTTATACAGCGCCCAAAGAATGAGTTGTTGCGCCATAATATTGGTGGTTACACTCCCGCTAATGGTGCTTAGGAGTGCGGCAGTGATAGGAGTCGTTTATTTGGACATTACTTGGTCATTTGTGAGAGTTGTAGTATGAACAGTTAACACTCACAATCGATGAGTGCTATCTTGAGAAGGGGGTGATGTAATGGGGGACATTGCATATATCACATTTACAAAACCCAGAAAAAGATTACATTTTATAGGCAGATGCTGTGCCCGAATAGAGGGCACAGCGTAGCAATTATTATTGGTTTATATATAATTGGAGCCTAAAGACCAATGTGGTCCGATAATAAATTTACCTAAAAATGAGTAGTTTTCAATCACACTGAGTTCTTGTGCAGTCGTATTAACGACCGAACCACAAGTGAGGCCATCGCACTCACTCTTAGTACATTAACACGTTTATGGACGCTTCAAGACGCTTATCAGATGGCCATCTGATGAATAAGCGGTAGGCATCTTCACGGTTCGATGCTGCCAGCTGATCCATGGCTCGTACCTTCTGAGCCATGTAATCCTAGGATGACATCAAATTTGTTATCCAGGTCGAGTACGATGTAATCGCCATCGTACTTTTAAGTTATGCTCTGAGAGTATAACCAGAGAGTACCCAATTACACCTGAAAGCACTTCGTGGTCCGTTCAACGACTACCCTCTTACCGCTATGGAATTAGCGGATGAAGAACGTCAACACGCAACGCTTGGTAGCTTCCGCCATTTAATCGATCTCTAATGGCAGGCGGTTATTGTAAATTAGGCAGGGTTGCCATTGTAATCAGCCATAGCCATTGTATGGCTGATTACATCGGCAACCCTGCCGTTGGTGCCATGTTGCTTTCTCTTAGCGGAGACGAACAACATGCAATTATCGCCAAGTTCATGCAACATAAATTTAATAAAGTCGTAAAGAATACATCTTGATACAGGGGAAAGGTTATCATCAGGTAGAACCTTAAGAGAACAAGGCGCTCAACAAGTTGATTTGTTGATGCAGCAGGGTGATCAAAGTCTGAACTGTTGAAAAACAGAAGGCTACTGCTGCTTTCAGGGTACAAGCGATTGCAAAAGTGCAATTGCTTTCAGAAAATGGGCCACTACGCTTATGAGTGTAGTGCCCCACGCCCAGGGTCTCGTAACACTGGGAGTGACGATCGTCCGTCTGCCAAGAAGGTCCAGAGACGTGGGTTCCACGTTGTTGCGAAATCGCAACAACGTGGTGGACCATCAAAAAACGGTCGGGTCAGAAGGGCGAAGCGCCCTACTGATCCAGCAACGTCAAGAGAGTTCGCGTGACTCTTGACGAGGGTTGCTCCCAACACACAGTGACTGTGTGTTGCCGCTCCCAGTGATGAGGTATCCCTCATCACCTTAAAAATCGAAGTGACAAAGAACATGTCACTTCGCGCCCTAGTTGATTGTATGAATTCGAATAACTTGTTCGGCTCCAATCGCTAGATGACCATAGGCACATATAAGTTGAGCGCGAGACCCCTCCAACGAGGATGACGGTGCGCCTTGCTACTGGCGCATCCTTAACAGTAAAGAAACGTGTAGTGGGAATTCTCTACAGACTTAAAGGAAGATTTTACTGATATAAAGCGTAAGCAGTAACCTCAGAACTTCACGTACACGTGTACAAAGGAAGTCTAATCAACAAAGGGTGAGAAGAAAAAGAGAACTTTAGTTAATATAGTTAATCTATCTAATAAAATTTGTCCCTTATATCTGTGCTAACTATAATAAACAACAACTATGTATGTTGACAACTTGCCTTCTAATCATTGCGCGCGTGCATCGGTCATTGGCCAGCGTCCTTGTTAATGTAATGACTAAATCAATAAAAAAATTAACCTCAAGAAGATCCAAGAGCACTATTATATGTAAAGATAATATTTTTAAATAATATAATACTGATAATTACATCTTACTGACACTTCATATAAGTGTCAATATTATATAACGGACTGACCCCGTTACAGCTACTGTATTCTGCCAAAGATTGACTGTGTAACAATAAAAACACGCTCGCTCTAAATAGTCGATATGCCAACAATATTGATACTTTGCGTTTGTTAACGACAGATTATAAAGTATTTGAGTAAACAGCAAAGTATATTTATTAAAATCCTTAGTTTGCATGATATACGCTACTCTGATCCTACTGTATTTCTCGACTACACATCAATAAATGCCACAATACATATCACTCAATGAACGTTGCGCATTACTTTTTTTCTTTTTGCCAGGCGCATCTTGAATAAATTCATTTGGCTGAGGCGCCACCCCGCAGCAAGCTTCGCAACTCCAATATCTGACGCTCTTTCACAACAGGATCTTTTGTCGTTTCTGCAACAATTTGAGCAACCCTTGTCGATATCAATTCTTCGTACAACTTGACCAAAAACTTATTCGACCCTTTCGCCAAATTTTCAACATATAACGAAGGTATACGTTGTTTAACCCACTCGTTCAATAACTCTTTGATAAAATGTTCCCTTTCAATGCTGATTTTCATTACGTTGATGGCCTGTAATATATTGTCGTCCTTATGTTTGTCTCGTAGATAACCATGGACTGTCTGAAATTTACCTGAACACCAAGTGAGTTAGCCAGTACTACATTCTGATCGAAACATAAAACCTTACCTGATGGTAGACGTTCGTTAGTTGCATCCTTTATTAAGGCTTCATAGGTTTTATATTGACCACTTTCAATTATATGAGCCAAATCTTTATGATTCGCTTCGAATTTCTCAATGTCTGATTTCACCACCTCATTTTTGACACTCTTCGATGAACTTCCACGGGAAAATAAACCCTTAAACATCCTTTCTTCGCCATCGCCATCAGCTAAAACGTTGGTGCTGGCGATTGCGACCGCCGCAACAAGGAGTACGGGGTAGTAGAGACGCATCGAGTTCAACTTGTGCACTTGTGAGTGGAAAATGAAATGAGTCAAATGTGCACTGGTCAACGGGCAGGGTTGAGTCGTTCCCCTTCTCTGCCTTGTTAAAATGCGTAAAGAGCCAGTCACCAGTAAAATTGTCTATCTCTGAGATAATTCTTGTAAGACGCGGCTAGACCAAGTGCAGGCAGCCAGTTTTGATGTAATGTTGTCGTAAGAACAGCCTTTTTATCTTTATTAGATAGGATTCACAGGTAATTGATACTTTACCAAGGTATAGAGTACTAGGAAACACTGGTGGCGGCTGTTCGCATCACTTGTAGTGCCGGACCGTATCAGCTGATCATCTACATAGCCTCGGTCGTGGTGTCTACAACCATGGCCAAATGTTTACTATGTAAGAGACATTCCACTTGCAAGCTTCTATGCTCGGGACAGTGTCGTCAATTGGCAAGGCTATCCTATGGTCGATCTGTCGTACCCCATGGAAATCCAGTTCGGAGTAATGTCGTTAACACATACACATAGACTGCATGCCAGCTAGTCGTTTCTTTGTGGGCTATTCAAGATCCAAGTCTATTTTGCTGAGTTCAGTCATGCAAAGCGATCGAGCGATCGTTTCCAGTAAGCGGGTGTTTTCCATCAAGCAATATGGTATTCTCATTAAGAAGGTGAAACATGACTTGTGTTCTAACAATATGACGACACATTACATCCCCAAGCAAAGACCTCCAAAGAGCCGGCATACCAGTCCTCTTACCTTGGGCAGAAAGTCCTACATCATGACGCCTTATCTCTGCTTCGTGCGCCAAAAAGAGGCTGGGCAGCGTGTTAACTTGACGGAGAGCAATAGGCAGGAAATCCTGAAGAGTGAGGCTCCGATCAAAGAAATTAGCCAGCCTGGTCCGTCTGAGACAGCCAGTATAGTACCCGGCCTTTCTTTCAAGGCGCCACCTGTTCCTTGCATGTGATCGGATATGACCAACAATCTCACATGCACCTTGTTCATTAAAAGGCCTTTGTACTGTCTTACCTCTTGTCTTTGTAGCCTACTTGATTTCTTCCTTCTTTGCTGTGGCAAAGGTGGTGTCTGACCTTTTTCTCTATCTAGGGCCATATTTTGCCTGAACCTGCAAATTTTGCTTGTACGACTTTGCATTTAGAGTCATGTATATCAATCGAAATATACCGTGGAATTCTTTTAGATTTTGCAACATGTCTGACGTAGTCCTTGTCGGATCATGTCGTGGTCCTCACAGTAAAAAGTCAACAAATATTATTCCTTGCGGCTTCAAGTTTAATGTCTTAACGTTATTCATATCGGACATTTCTGTCACTGCTATATAGTATTAAACTGCTCGAATGTACATGTGTCAAAGTTCTTGACTTGAATTTGTAAGCAGCATGGAGAGCGTATGTCTGTACAAAGTGCCCTCCTGTATACACCGCGTAGTGGCCACCCTATGTAAGAGACATTTCGTCTGCAATTTTCTCTATGCTCGGGTCATGTCGTCGAATGGCAACTTGAACTGAATTTCCATCGCGTACAACAGAGCGACCATAGTCGATCCAAAAATTTGTGGGGTCCGACAGAGCGACCATAGTCTATCCTATGATCGCTCTGTCGTACCCCCCGAAAATTTAGTTTGGGTTGTGTCGTCAAACTCGACAGCAGTAAGGGCAGATAAAGGCAGCAAGCAGTGGCTGAGCGATGGAAATGATAAGAGCAATAGCGGATGTCTATGGGCTTTCGAATATCTGCAGTTAGCTCACCACGCAGGGACGAGGAGGCAGATAACTACGTCAACTGAAACCCATTGTTCAGGAAAACTGGCCTTCTTTAGGAAGTCTCTTCCATCTTGGTTTGGGCGGCTACACATAGATTATGTTCATTGTATATGAGGTGCACGTTGCTTGATCATGAACTGCACAATGTTAGAGCTAAGAAGAAAAGTGAGTTAGATCCATTGAAATAATTCACTAGCAGTGTGCATGCATTAACCGTTTTCCAATGAACTCATCCATTCGTTGTTGATTGACGTACATCAGTGGTGTTGGGAATAACAAAAGTAACTGCAGCAGCAGCATTAGCTTTTGATCGCGTTGACTTCTTGAAGCTTTTATCTCCTTGCCTGAATGTTCAGGCCACTTTTCTTCACAGAACGAGTGTGCAGCGCACGCGTAAGCCTTCCACGCATCTTGACCTTACGCGTCGTAAATATCAAGACGCAAGTCGTCCCGACGGAGAGCTTCCTTGATGACAGTAACGTTGGCGTGGAAAACTCCGTCCAAGATGGCTGCGTCTTTCTCCAGCACCATCACCTCGAAAGGGTATTTAAATACCCCTACGAAGAAAACTGCTACCATCGGAAGCTCGGCGTTCTTCAGCAACAAGTCGTAGTCGTCGATTGCGTGTGTCAGTCGGCGCTGAGCATGAAACACTTCCAGATAGTATGTGTAAGTCTTGGCCAACTGCTTGAAAAGTCCATCGACTGATCGACTCTCTCCGTGCAGCTGCGTCTGCGTACTCGCATCGTCTCCTGATCCTCCAATCCCTCCAGCGCCTTCCAATGTGTCCAACATCTCTTTAAACTGGGACGCGACGCGCATGAAGCACGACACTAAGCATGATATCAATCACATCGTGGTCTTCCTTGCAAGCTAGCACCCAGGACCCTGCCTCCTTTAACTTTCCGTACGCTGCATTCTCCTGAAGCAGCACAATGAAAACCGCCAGTACTTGAGTCGATAGTAATCATACTTCATTTGCCGCTGATTCATTTCTTCATACTTCTGAATGGTCTCGGGAGACCAGATTGTCACAATCAGAGGCCGCCGTTTGTCGAAAATACTGGAGCCCTTTTCTTTAGTGCCCTTGCTGCTGCGACAGAGGACCCTGCAACTGTTCTTCACCTCGATGAGCTCGCACAGCATCCATGAGAGCCAGCACACTGTCACAAGTAGATCCAGTGTGGAGTAGAACGTCGACAACCAATACACAATCCGCGCCAGTACGTAGCGCGATGGACGGAAGTACCGGTCTTCGTCTGGAATTGACTCCAGGGCCATAATAATATTCAAGGCAAGCCATCCTCGTGCAAGAGTGACACACAATTTACGAATCGAATCGTTTCTGGCAGCAGCCGCCAACAGTGCGAGAATGCCATCCTTCGTGGCAGCGCTGACTCATTTAAGGTCACGGACCGCAGCAGTTTTTGGGCTAGCGCATATTCCATCGTCATCTTTCTTAGTACTGTGTCGGTCCATCGACTTCTTTGGTTGACACTATGTCAAAACTCTCATCATCATCACCGTCTCCACCGTCTGCTTCTTTCTCCTCTTCATGACGACAAACCAAGCGCAGCGCCGACACTGATGGCAAATCGCTGGTTGTGAGCTTAATTCGCAATGTCTGAAGAGCATAAAAGGCATGAACTAGAGCATGTATTCTGTCTCCCTCGTCACGAGCTGACTCCGCCTTAAAATAGCTGTCTGCAACTTTTTAACCGTTGATAGCGCCTCTGGATCAGACCATTTGTGTTTACGAAGTTCACACCAACGTCTTTTCCTCAATGTTTTGCCAATCATGTATTGCAGACGAAAGTGAGCTTCGTGAGCATCTTCCTTGGATTCGCAAAATGCCCACCCCCTCCGGAAGATTGGCTGGCGTATCGCTTATTAAACGCGAGTACATCTCGTGCGAAAACAAAGCAAGGTTTGTCTCCTTCATCAAACTAAACTCTTGCAAAACATTAAACAGCAACAAACCACACTCTTCGTTGCACTCAATAATCTTGTTCTGTAAAGCATCCAGCTCTTTGTCAAAAGTATTTGTTTCCTTGTCGACACTTTTGTCAGCGTTGTCACGCTTACTTTGTCGTTTCAAATTGTGTTTCTTAATAGCCTCTTCGGCCAACTGCGCAGCCATATCAAAGCATCGTCGTGTAAACTCAATTACTTAAGCGATATATATCGTGGCATACGTCAATTACTTGAGCGATATATATCGTGGCATACTCTTCGATCAAAACCTGGCTACGAAGCGTTTCGAATCGGGCATCGTTCCCTTCCGTTTCGTCATTACAACCCTTCAGCTTCGAGGCCTTGCTACCCATTTTGTTATCATCGACACTTTCACCTTGCCACTCTTTCATATTCTTGAATAAGTTCCACTCCAAAACGACATTTTGGAATGAAAACACGTCAAGATTACTATAAGCTTGTTCTTTCCGTGAACGCTCTGGGCCCATGGCAAGTATCTTGGTTGTATATCACTGGAATGCTCGAACTCTGAGCTTCCGTCCGAGCACAGCAGCAAACGCATCTGTAGCTGCGTGATATAATTCCTTCATCGTCTTTCCCAAGCACACCCAGGAGTCAACTCGATCTGGATGATAGTACAAGACATCTTTCATCAAAAACTGCACTCGCTTTCGAATATGCTGCTCCAATTCCATTAGCTCCGCCAGGTTTCCTCGCCGTTTTGCTCGCCCAAGACTGAAGTTTGCATATATCAAATACCACGAATGACCCACGCAAATTTTATCTGGTAATTCTGTCGTCGTGTCATTAGCATCAAATGGCAACGGCAATGCAGTTGTCTTCTGCAGCAGACCTCTTAATGCCAACCAAGTACGCTTCTATAAAAGAGAAACAGCAGCCGGTTGTGCAAAGAAAGCAGAAAAACTGGAGCCTGAGAGAGCCTCTCGGACTGCGTATAACTACTGATGTCGTTCTTTCTTTTGGCTGTTGTTTTTCGCCTTTGTGGCCAAAAGTATCGGCACAGCAAAGCGAATCAACCGCATTGCATCCTCATGTCTAGTAAATAGTTTACCATCTTGGAGTGAAGCAAAGGTGGACCCTCATTTGTGATCTTGGCATCCGGGCAGAATTTGCACGTCGTATAACAGCAATAGCATTGACAAGCCTCCATCTGGAAGAGGTACTTCCCTTCTTTCACGCCCTCTTCCTTATCAGCTTCTTCATTACTCTCCTTATCCGATTTCTTCGTAAGTTTTTCTTCGTCCCAAATGCTTGCCTTTTGCACATACTTGTTCAATAGCACTGTACTTGCTTCGAGAAAGCACGAGGTCTTGCGTGTATCGGCAGCAGAACCAGTGTCAGAAAAGTACGTCAAGCTGCAGATAACATGTTTACCAAGTCTATGGTAAAGAAGATGTATCAACTCGACGAATTGGGTCGGCGATGTACTCAGTAGAAAACTACTTGCATACAACTGCAAGAATAAGACGACCCCATTGCCAGATAGCAGTCTTGAGTGTCTTGCCATCACGCTGCGCTATAATCTTTGCCTCTCTTTCACCAAAATGCTGCACAATGCCATTAGAGCAGACCGTTTCGGGAGCAGCAATGACAGAGCAGTCTCGCCGTGGTCGCGACAGGCTCCATTCAAAAAGCGCAGGAGCTCTACAATTATCGCTCGAATGCGATCAAGACGCGGTTGTTTTTTCTAAGCTGCATAAGGCACCAATGTCAACAACTCTCGGTACTCCTCACCCGGCAGGGATCGACTCAAGTACAATAGTCGAGCCATGGCATCCAATCCGACCATTCACTGCGAGCTATCATCACATAATCCATGGGTGTTGTCGTTATCAGCTTCCAACACAACACGTATCATCGATAGAACATTGTTTGGAGAATCAAAGCAAAACATATTAATCGCTGTAAGCATTTCACGCACGAACCACGCAGCATCAATCTGTAGTCAGGGTTTGTAAGATGTTCCGACTGTTTTTGCGTGAGCCGGGCTAGCAAGAAATTCAGTGCGGCAAGAGCATTTGTACACGCTTCATCGGGCGAGTTTTCCCTGATAGTAACGTCTTTCGATACAGCCAAGCCATCCAGAAAATCAATCACATAGTAAAGAGTCGTCAACAAGAACAAGGTCGTGTCTTCGTCCGAACATTTTGGACTCTGTCCAAGTGAATGTAGCACCATTTCAATAAATTAGTGCTTTCGCCACGCTCCGAATGTTCATCCTCGTCACACTCGTTCAAAAAAGTCTGTCATCCGTGGCACGTGCTTACAGGGGAAGAAGTGCCCCAATAAAAAACGATACAACATGATCGTGGTCTCTCCCAGATTTAAACAAACGTCGAGCTTTACCACATACGTCGGTATAGCGCAATCCTGATATTTTCATCCAAGATTCCTCATGTAATTTCACCGTCAGCTTTTTGGTTCGTTAGATCAACTCGGAACTTGCAATCGTTGCTTTGATCGTCGTCTTCATTAAACCCAACAAGTTTCTCTCTGCATTTCGTAAAGTAGTATTGAGCCATCAAAGGTTCCCCACATCGTTCATACATGCGCGCCATGAGCCAAAACAAGCGCAGGAATTCATCTCCTATTGGACGACATAAAGCATCCTCAGAGTTCTCTAGCCAGCCAAACGAACACAAAAGCTTTTGGGTCTCAGCCACCTGAATCTCCACTAGTCTTTTTATTTTGCAACGCCGGACTAGCTGCTGCAGAAGCACATCAAACTGAAGCTCCAGCAAGAATAGCTGAGCACCAAGCGATAATCCATTCCCCGTGAAGCGACTACCTTGAAGAAGCGAGTGGTCCGCAACATTAATGACGCTGCGTTGCGTGGATGTCACTTCTATAGTAGCATCCAGGTCTCCGTTTGATGTTTTTTCCAGCCACATGCACACTTTGTGAATTACTTCAGCCTCGCTTTCTAATTTAAATACAACCACTGACCACATTAATGGAGGTAAAGTCGTATCCAGTCCATTATCCCACCAGGTATATATTCACCACCACGTTCACTGATTAAAAGACAAAACCTGTCTTTTCGTCGCGCATTCTGCTCAAAATGCCATCACATGCACAGCCTGATCACTTGCTGTTAGCCGTGAAGATGATGGGTCCGTGTTACTCGTAGATCCATCTGTGGCCGTCGCAAATGCAAACGACGCTGTTTTCGATAGTAACTGCCGCTGTCCTGAGTGTCGTAATTCGAAACGCCCGTCAATAGGACCATCTCATGGCCAGCAGAGAGCTTCCAGCAGCTCCTTCACCTTTTTAATCTTCATTATCTTAATTTTCAAGTTACTTGGCCACATGTTCATACTCGTCCTTGTCTCCCACTTGGTGCATCACCAGAGCCAGCGTCTCCACTAGTAGCCAGTACTTACAATTACTAACATCGTCTCTTCCAATAGCCTCCGAGCCAACAATAATAATTTCCATTCTTTACGGCCGTCGTTGCCATCTGATACTACACGACCACGTCCATTGCGTCCAGTGCCAGTGCCGAGTCCAGCGCGTCTTTAAATGATTGCGTCTTCAGTGTCATTGTTACGAGTTTTTTATTACGTAAATATTGCAGACCAAGACTGAGTTTAAGTCGTTCTTAAGTAACTGCAAGTACCCAGTCTTAGCCTGGGTCCTCCGCAGCGCCACCGGGGACGCTATCGACGTCTTGTCAAAGCAAAAAATTGTAATAAAGTATACTGCAGAACCTGTTTAAACGAATAACGCTGAGATTAAAAATTTGTATCTTATAATAGAGGCAATCAGCTAAGTCAGTTTTACACCAGCTCCATGGACCCTCTCAGCACGAAAACGTTTTTAGCAGCTACGACAGGGTATCAGTAAAGGCAGTATAGGTGAAGCAAATTTTACTTAATTTAGTAAAAAGGACATGTGAAACATTTTCGATTGTCAATTTTAAATTGTGTGTAGTCCGTTCCCTGCTCCTGATGTAGTGATTGTACTTGCAGAGCTTCTAGTCTGTCTCTCTTATTGACGACCTCAGATTGCAAATGGGTTTCCTCAGGCGACGATAAAACTTGCGTTTGCTGTTATGTAATACTTGTTTGACCAAACCGTTAAAAGGAAGCTAAAAGCTGAAAGCTGCAGAGTTAAAAGTTGTGGCATATACAGGCATTTTCAAGAACGTGATTTTCTTGACGACAATATAACGGTAGGTGCTGCTTATTTTATAAATTAATGATCGCTTTTAGGAGTTATTACGTTGACATTGTGTCGATCGTGTCTCAATAAGATTTTTGCGTTCTTCCTAGCATCTGACGCTGTCGCTAGATTCACCGGTATGCTTGCGCATTGGAGTCTTTAGGTCACTCGTGTGAAGAACGATGAAATGAATACCTGAAAGGCTTGAAGAAGCATTGTCACTTGCTTTTTCTCGAGATGGTCAAGGACTTTGGAATGAACTTTGCTTCGGGAAAAAGTAAATCTACCTTGTGTGATGGTACTAGCGCGCACTGTCCGCTTAAAATTATATATTCAACGTTACACATGCTCTAATGGCTGTAGAAGCTCACTACCATGAAGAACAGCGCATTTCTGATATGCCTGCTCCATAGACCAAAGTCTATAGCTATTTTGAGTTAAACGTCATGACGTTGAATAGCCACGATTCGGTCATGGTGAAGGATGAAGGCTATGAAGGCGTATAAGCCACATTTATTGACATGGGTGGGGTGCTATGAGCAGATCAAAGAATTGCTGGGTGACAGCTTTTTGCGGTTGGTGAAAGTGTGCGGGTTATGTTTGAAAGTGACGTTGAGAAAGCAGACGTGAAATCAGAAAGGTTGTTGATGCGATAAAACAACATCGGAGCGTGGCATGTTGTCAACACGGTTTTTTTCTTATGAGCAAGCACGTAGGAGAAAATGCTTGATCCCAGCGTTGTACAAACACTACTTACTTGCTCTCGAAGAATCATTTGTTTGATAGACACCTATTTGGTCTGTTCACCCCTAGGGTGGACTTTAGTGTTTTACGACTAATGGCTGGCCGCTCAAAGAATAATCAAGGTGAAGACGACGTACTTCGAAGTTTTAAAGTGTTAAAACTGTAACGAAGCCTATTCAGTCATTTTAGGTGCTGTAAACGTTGTCTGCTCGGCCCTAACACATTGCTTCAAGTATTAGACCACACCGTTTCGACATCCTTTATTACGAACTCACTTGCGTTATTAGAGACCCTGGTACATGTGCGTAATCTCTGCTTGGAAGCGCGCCTTGAGTTGCGGGCGTTTCAGCTTAAAGGTAGGTGTTATCAGACCATCATCCATCGAGAACGGATCCGGGTGGAAGTGTACCTCTTTGACACACTCAAAGCCACGAAGTTGTGCTTCCTTTGCGATCACCGCCATATCTTCCAGCACCTCCTTTTTGAAGGCCTTGTTGCCAACTAACTGCGCTACGGTAGCATGATCGCCTGATAGACCGTTCGCGTTCCCCCAGGCTTCGGCTATCTCAGGGTCGGGCACCACAATTGCCACGAGAGAGCTCTTAAGTGAGTCACCATAAATGAAGATCTGGGCAACGTACTTGCTCTTGAGGTAAACTCCCTCAACTTTCTCAGCAGCGACATACTCACCCTGCGATAGCTTAAAGATGTTCTTCTTGCGGTCAATAATACTGAGTGTGCCATCAGCATTCCAGCAACCAATATCACCCGTGTGGAACCACCCATTTTCATCAATCACTTCAGCCGTCTTCTCCGGCTGCTTGTAGTATCCAGCAAATAACAACGGACCCTTCGTAAGAACTTCTCCACGCGGGCGAGGCTTATCTTTGCTAGTGTATCCCATCTCAGGTACATCTTCGAGACACACTTGCATTCGAACGAGTGGCGGACCAACGTGCGGCCCCAATGGCATATCACCCGAGGCAAGTGTCACACCGGCTGCTGTTTCACTGAGTCCATATCCCTCCACGACATCGCAGCAGAAGACAATCTTCATGAACTCCTTCACATCAGCGCTTAGCGGAGCAGACCCAGATAGAATAATACGAACTCGTCCTCCTAGTACCTGACGAAGCTTAGCAAAGATCAATGCATCCCACAGTGCGTGGGTCTTGTAGCCCGCACTTAATCCCGCGCGCTTGCTTGCGTACGCCTGGTCGAACATAAGTTTCTTCAGTCCTCCTGCAGCTACAACACCCTGTCTAATCTTGTCGTACACTCGATTGAAAAGTCTCGGTACCGACACAAATAGTGTTGGAGCCAGTTCCGCGAGATCCTCCATCAGGAACAACACATCTCCCTGATAAAATCCAGCAGCCGCGCTGTTCTGGAGGAGAGCTCCAATAACTGCCCGTTCAAACACATGGGGTAATGGCAAGTACGACAAGTGTACGTCCGTCGCATCCACGCTCAGTCTCTCTCCTGCCAACATGCTAATGATCGTAAAGTTTCGGTGCAATAGGATAACACCCTTAGGATCTCCAGTAGTTCCCGACGTATAGCACAACGTCGAAATGTCTGTTGGGAGCGGGGGGTCCGCCGGCACCGGCTCTGCTCGTCCAATAAGTTCCAAGTCACTCAAGCTTTTAAGCTCAATATTCTTGGCCATGGCTACACGTCGTTGTTCGTCCGTGACAGGCCCAAACTGGACAATTGTCTTAAGTTTAGGACAGGCTTCTCTACACTTCATTACAATCTGAAACTGATCCATGCCACAGAACAACACTTGAAGCTCCGTGTGATTCGCAATAAAGGGCACTGCATCGGGTCCAAGTGTATCATATAGAGGCACGACGACGTATGCCATCCGATCACATGCATGTGCCACTAAACACCATTCAATTTGATTTTTCGCAAAGATGCCGACATTATCTTGACGTTTTAACCCACAAATGCGTGTCAACCCCGACGCCAAGTCGTCCATACGTGACTTGACTTCACTATAGGTGATCCATTGAAAAGATCCACTTTTTCCAGTAATGGGGTTGACCACACGACGGCCATAGCACGGACGAGCACCACCCTCACGACTCCAGCCACGTAAGAAATTATGATACAGCGTCTGCTGCGCTTCATCGACAGTCACGGTATTAGGCACTTGATACGTGGGTCCGTGCATGGCGTCCCCCGAATTGGGCACAGCATTCGTGTAGCGCAGACCCTTGTACGATTCAAAATCAATTTCACTCATAGGTGTAGCACTACTATAACCAGACCCCATGCTTGCAAAGTGAAAAAAAACAAGAGTGAAGGTCTTTTCAATCACCTGAAAATTAGAAACTGATTTTCTGATTTTGGCCGTGAAGTTTTGACGTCAACGAGACCTCTTTATTAACTTTAACAGGTGTGAGCATTTCATCAACTTCAACAGGTGTGATCCTTTTTTAATCATTTATCAGTTTCAACAGGTTTGATCTTTTATCAGTTTCAACAGGTTTGATCACTATATGTATTGGAGACATATGTACCCTGTATCCGAGCGCCGTGCTCCGTGGTCTCGTTTTTCGTTCGACTCCGAGTCGGCTGATAACTATAAAACTGACTGACTGTTTCTTCTGCACGAGATGGGCCAGTGGTTATTCTGTCACGAGCGTTTGTCTGCAAACTGAAAGCCAATTATTTGCTTTAGTTCTGGCACTGAAGTCTCGAGTCTTTATCCTTCAATAAGATAGACTCACTAACATCTTGATAGGAGTCGAAAGACCAAGTGGAGAGTCTGGTGAGTGACGACACAATCCATTGATTAGGCTCGGTGACAGTGAAGCACTGGAAGCGGCTTGAAGGCTGCAGGTTCGCATGCTTTTTCACGGCACTTGTGTGCAAATAATGGCAGAGCCTATCAGGAGAGGAGAACAATCACCTCGATTTTGTATATTTCAGTCATCCCGTACTTTCAGGAACAATGGGTTTTTCGAATGAAGCATTATAGGATCACTCTGTAGCTGCCAAAAATCGACAAGAGGTGGTATCGTTCCTCTTTGTGTAGCCGGAAATTTTGAAATGTAAAAGTCGCTATGAACGACGCAGTTATAAAGCGCTACCCCACGGAAAAATGGAGATCACGCGATATCATGGAGAGATGAACCGAAAATGCATCCATGCCACTGTTGCACAGTTTTTATCATTCTCCTAGAAGCTTGATTAACTTCTTAACCTGGAGGAATGCATGCACTCTGATTGACCCTGTGGGGAAGACGACAAGACCCCGGACCCGTCAGACTTTTTTGCGTACTGGGTATTCGACATGAAAAGTTGGATCGACCGATTCTTACAGTGGGTATTATTCGAAGGATTGCAAGTCCTTTTTAACTACCAGCGGACGGGAACATTTGCACATCCGGTTTAACGTCCCGTCTCATTAAGACAGCGCAGCCCACGCGGGTCTTAGCAGATTTGCTTATAACGCGGTAGTTAGACGGTGACAGCGGCAATGTGGGACTAAAAAGCAAACCATGCATGACATGTGTCAAGAAGATGACGTACCGTGAGACGCGGCGGCGCAACGTAGTCCTTCACAGGATCTATTGGAAGAAAAGGGCATGTCTTTTGACGAGAAAAGAGTGTCTAGGTCACGATGGATGAAGCTAGAGAGAAGTACTTGGTTCGCATGGGCGACGGCTAGATTGAACGATGGAGAAACAGTGGTGGATATTTAAGCGCGTATCAAAGTGAAGGAGAAAATCAGACCACCGTGCCAGCCATACGCACAGCAACGGCGCAGCGTTTCGGATACTAACGCTAGCAGACAGGTTCGTTTTGGAAAGAATGGCCAATTTGAAGGCATCATATTATGCCATCGACGCACATGGCGGCCGGATTTGACCAGCTCAATCGAATAGTGCAGTACAAGCCTCCCTCCAGCAGCAGGAGAGCGATAAGTTTATCGCTCGTCCTATACGAAATATCGAGCTCTCATTATCGTCCCGTGTTTTTTTAGCACGTTGACCTCTGGAGCGTACCTCGAAAAGAGTACTGGTCGTTTAACGGTAGAAAAACTGCGAGCCAGATACTACCAGCGGCGACATGAAACGAATGTAAAACTCAGCACGCTTCTATCAAAATAATTTTTTCGCGCTCACGAAGCCAAGATTCTTCTCTATAAAGAGATTTTACTAAAGAAAAAAAGCATACTTAGCTTGCGGTTCGAGATCCGTCATGGCTGAAGTGGCTGGCTCGGCGGATATTGCCGACCTTGGATAGTAGCACGTTGAATCAGTAGAGTTGCCCGCTCCAACAACTTCTTGTTATCTAACCCAAATCAAGGACGAGATATGGTACGTGCTCGTATTTCTTAAACAAAAAGTGTGGATGACAATGGAATGATACTTTTACTAGTGCAACAATGCACCTGGGAATACCGACATGGAGATATACAATGTCCATTTACAGATCGTACCTGAATTTAATAAACGCCGGCATGATCAAGCTAAAGTGCAAGAAGCTTTTTATACAATGAGTAGCGGCGGAAATTCTTGCGTTTGCGATCTAAAAGGACATCGGGATCATCGGTCTACAGTGCCAGGAGGGAGTTATGCGGTGCATCATTTTCAGCTTTCGTCGACGATCTGACGGTGTTCATGCAGGAGGCACAACACCTACCCAGAGTGATGAACTTTGTAGAACATTTTAACGGAGGAATCTGGCCTTCCTACCTATTGCATACAAGACGCAGCGGGTCACCACGCCATCCTCTGGCTAACCCAACGCAAAGACAACTATTTTCTGGCCTGGCAGACATGAGCTTTTCGAGGAGCATCGCAGGACTGTACAGCAGGAGTGTATTTATACCAACAGAGTGGACGACAGCTCTCTAAGGATCGCAGGACCCCAAGAAACACTTTCCAGCATTTGATCGGACCTCTGCTGTTACCAACACTACCGGACCCGGAGGGTAGGCAGCAGCAGTACACAATGGAGCTTGAAAGACTTGCATCGGAGGGGAATCGGCTGGACGACACATGTGGAATGGATGGTGAAGCTATGCCAACCGCTCCTTCACTTGCCTCCGTACAACTACCGATCACGAACGAGGAACCGGCGTTGCTAACCAGGCTTAGGATCTATCAGACATCTAGCAACCACTTAAGGTTAGATAGACTAATTTGACGAGACACTTTTTGCGCTTATTCAATGGCTTCATACCAACACGACAGCACGGTTTACAGTCAACAGCAAACATTCGGGCAGTTGGGTCGGGTCTTCGGCAGGGCTGTCCTCTTGCTTCCCTTCTTCTCCTAATGGTAGTAGAAATATAGCAGTTGCAATACAAACGTCGCCCCAACTTCAGGAGTTCACACTTGAGGGAGCACACACACAGAATCACATTTTTTCGGGAAGTGTTGACGACTCCACATTGTTTCTCTTAAACGCAAGTTTACTACGATCGGCTATGGAAAGTATTATTGAGTTCGGACGGCTATCGGGGATGCAAATGCAACCAACTAAAGAGCCAAATCATCTACTTATACACGGCTATCCATCAACTCACATACCGAGGGATCGCATGGTTGTTCCGTCAACAACTACAAGGTATCTCGGATATCAAGTGGGGACACAAAAGTTCCGTAATATTAAGTGAGCTCTCCGCATCAAAAATGCACAGCGCGCGCTTCCTCACTGCAACGCGAGTATTAACGACCCTCGAGCACCGTATCCTTATACTCAACGCGATAATTCTCCACGCAATCTTGTTCACAGCAGCGGTCTTCGAGACCCCCTGCTGGGCGCTAAAACAGCTAGACCATCTCTACAAACAATTCTTCTGGAAATCGTCCAACAAGATCGAACCCAGGAGATACAAAGTCGCTCCAAGCCTACTTTACACTAGCAGGAAAAAACTGGCCTCGTTTTTCCGTCCCCGTCGCCATCAAAACACAGCAGGTGAAACACGCGCTACTGGCACTTACTCGGCCGGAGCATGTGTATCTCACAGCGTGGGTGTCCTGGATTACGCATGGTGCACGTAACACGAGCGTCAGCACGCATCGACCGAGCGTACAACACATCGTATCGCCGTCTTCCGAGCGGTATCCGGATCTAATTCATGAACTTGGCTGCACATTAAAGCCAGATAACGCGCAAACGGAGGATATCCTCGCACGAGTACGGGATCATTAACCGAACCTTCGGTCATCATTGACCAGTTGGTGGGAAGAAAATGACTGGTACTGCACCTCTCTGTGCCTCTTTCCTGTCAGGCTCAGGTGGTTGAGTTTTGGCCCTAAGAGATCAAAGATTTATGGCAGACTTTTCAGTGGAGTGAAAACTCTTGAATTCTCACACCACAGACGTCGGAGCTGTCCCGAACCAAGTATGACAGAATTGGTGATGTCTCCCTCGAGCAACTCCACATCCAGCAGCCGGCCCACAAGAATAAGTCTTAGCGGCATTAGCACGGACGTCCACGCCCCCGCTATTCGCATGCGAAACTTCGAAAATGGGCGATCATAGTCGTACTTCGTCGCCGCCACTAGACGTGGGAAATCCGGTAGCGTGCCAATCCCACTTCGGCTACGTCATCAGCCACCATTCACGCAAGCCATCTCATGGGTGCTGGTTGGACCAGGCAAGGTTCGGAGGTTTTCTCTCTCTGTTGTATCTGATCACCCTCAGAGATAGCTCACTCAATGCCACAACGGTATACCTTGGATTTTCGACGGCGATTCGCCACTGGTCAAGAGAAAATCGCAGGAACTCACCCAACAAGCGAAGAGCAAGCTCATCCGACACAAGGTTGTCTATTTTCCAACCCACTGATCCACGACTGTCCCATGGTCCGCACCGCCTACGGTTCCCTATCATCGACTATTCACTTTCCTGAAACAGCAAGTCGTCTCGCAGCACCGCTGAAGCAGGTCATCGATCGGCTAGCCACCAAGAGCCAGAATACGAGGTGGCAACGCACAGCTCTGGATGTCACCGGCTCAGATATGGGATCACGGCCACGCGATGACGGAAAATCAGCTATAAACACGATACCGCCACGCTACCGAGCAGCTAAACTTTTGGTACTAATTTAGCTCAAGCATTGTGCAAACTGTAGCGTACCACGCATCTCGCCGCAAGTCACAGCAAAGCTGTTAGCCCGGTACCCAAAAGACATAAATCAACTCGCCACAGCCTAGAGGACGATGTGGGAGGCCGCAATAACCATCATGATCACAATGCTCTGACAACACCGCGTGGACAGCGTTTCTCACATTGCAAATATTCCGATGCAAGCCAATGAAGCTTTAATCTAGGGAAGGATTCAGCTCCAACTGAGGGCGCTCATCAATCGTCTCCATTGCAGGGCGGACGCAACCGTACGTGGCGCCCAACTATCTGCGTGTTACGACATAGCTATATCAGAACCGTGAGAACGGACCGGCTTTCATAGAAGAGCTGCCAGCCATAGGCAATGACTGGATCCTCCAGCGTTGCTAGTGTGGTTAACTACCTACAGGAGATCATGGACTGACCAGTAAATAGACTTGTCTGCCTTTCTCGCTCTTTGTACAGTGAGTTATTGAGCCGGTTAGATCGTCAAGATTAGATTTGCCGACGTTGTAGTCGATGCGTGCGCACGTTAAAAGCGATGTCTCATCAATGTTGGCGGCACAGTAGGATTGTGAATCGCATTATCTGCCTCCTCGTCCCTGCGTGGTGAGCTAACTGTAGATATTCGAAAGCCCATAGACATCCGCTATTGCTCTTATCATTTCCATCGCTCAGCCACTGCTTGCTGCCTTTATCTGCCCTTACTGCTGTCGAGTTTGACGACACAACCCAAACTAAATTTTCGGGGGGTACGACAGAGCGATCATAGGATAGACTATGGTCGCTCTGTCGAACCCCACAAATTTTCGGATCGACTATGGTCGCTCTGTTGTACGCGATGGAAATTCAGTTCAAGTTGCCATTCGACGACATGACCCGAGCATAGAGAAAATTGCAGACGAAATGTCTCTTACATAGGGTGGCCACTACGCGGTGTATACAGGAGGGCACTTTGTACAGACATACGCTCTCCTTGCTGCTTACAAATTCAAGTCAAGAACTTTGACACATGTACAATCAAGCAGGTTAATACTATATAGCAGTGACAGAAATGTCCGATATGAATAACGTTAAGACATTAAACTTGAAGCCGCAAGGAATAATATTTGTTGACTTTTTACTGTGAGGACCACGACATGATCCGACAAGGACTACGTCAGACATGTTGCAAAATATAGAAGAATTCCACGGTATATTTCGATTGATATACATGACTCTAAATGCAAAGTCGTACAAGCAAACTGTGGCCCTAGATAGAGAAAAAGGTCAGACACCACCTTTGCCACAGCAAAGAATACAAAGACAAGAGGTAAGACAGTACAAAGGCCTTTTAATGAACAAGGTGCATGTGAGATTGTTGGTCATATCCGATCACATGCAAGGAACAGGTGGCGCCTTGAAAGAAAGGCCGGGTACTATACTGGCTGTCTCAGACGGACCAGGCTGGCTAATTTCTTTGATCGGAGCCTCACTCTTCAGGATTTCCTGCCTATTGCTCTCCGTCAAGTTAACACGCTGCCCAGCCTCTTTTTGGCGCACGAAGCAGAGATAAGGCGTCATGATGTAGGACTTTCTGCCCAAGGTAAGAGGACTGGTATGCCGGCTCTTTGGAGGTCTTTGCTTGGGGATGTAATGTGTCGTCATATTGTTAGAACACAAGTCATGTTTCACCTTCTTAATGAGAATACCATATTGCTTGATGGAAAACACCCGCTTACTGGAAACGATCGCTCGATCGCTTTGCATGACTGAACTCAGCAAAATAGACTTGGATCTTGAATAGCCCACAAAGAAACGACTAGCTGGCATGCAGTCTATGTGTATGTGTTAACGACATTACTCCGAACTGGATTTCCATGGGGTACGACAGATCGACCATAGGATAGCCTTGCCAATTGACGACACTGTCCCGAGCATAGAAGCTTGCAAGTGGAATGTCTCTTACATAGTAAACATTTGGCCATGGTTGTAGACACCACGACCGAGGCTATGTAGATGATCAGCTGATACGGTCCGGCACTACAAGTGATGCGAACAGCCGCCACCAGTGTTTCCTAGTACTCTATACCTTGGTAAAGTATCAATTACCTGTGAATCCTATCTAATAAAGATAAAAAGGCTGTTCTTACGACAACATTACATCAAAACTGGCTGCCTGCACTTGGTCTAGCCGCGTCTTACAAGTATTATCTCAGAGTTAGACAATTTTACTGGTGACTGGCTCTTTACGCACTTCAACAAGGTTGTAAAGGGGAACGACTCAACCCTGTCCGTTGGCCAGTGCACATTTTACTCATTTCATTTTCCACTCACAAGTGCACAAGTTGTACCCGATGCGTCTCTACTACCCCGTACTCCTTGTTGCGGCAGTCGCCATCGCCAGCACCAACGTTTTAGCTGATGGCGATGGCGAAGAAAGGAGTAATTTTGGAGAGTATGAGAAAATCGCATCTTTCTTATCGGATGAAGTTGATATGGCTCCTGAGTTGGAGGTGGCTCCTGAGTTGGAAGCGCTTGTTGGTGATTCCAGCAAGGGAAAGGGTAAATATCCGTCAAGTTCATTATTGAAGTCAATGAAGAAGTTTAATCCGTTTCGCGGTTCTTCCAGCAAGATGAAGCATGACTATGGGAAACTTAAAAAAGATAAACGTTCTGAGATCCCGGAGCACCCTCTCATCCAGGAATTGGAAACGTTTTTGAATCGTATGACTTTGCCTGAATTTCTTAGACACGCCCTGTTCGCATATTGGGAAGGAAATGTAGCCACGTACACCAACGCTCATAATCCAAAAGGTTATATAAAAGAATCATATTCGTTTTTACGAGATAAGTTCGGGGACAAAGAAATCATGCAGGCGATAAATTCTAATTATGATAAGGATGCAGTCGTATCGTTTAAAGATCACCAAACTCGCTTTATCACCGATTGGACGCGAAATAAGAAGATGGATGGTGAGTTTAATGAATTGCTGGAAGGTTTTGAGAAGGAGATACGAAAAAGCTGGAAAGCAGTGTACGCGAAAGTCACTCGTTCACAGTCTAAAAAGCTACGATAATTTGGTGAGGAACTTTTTTACTGTCACACAGTCGTTAATCCAGTAGTTCCTGCACTTTTGAATCTTGCTATGCACAACGCTGATGGGCCGTTTGACACGGTGGTGGTGGTGCTCACCGCGATGTAGATTGGTTTTGGTCGCGTCTTACGAAGAAGGTTTTGCAAACTTAGACCGATATGTAGAAGAAACGTTTAAGATCGAATAAACACTTAGCATGAAGTTTTGAGTTTCATTTATCTGTAATCTGCGCTGCCACTGATAAATTTAGCAAGTAGTTTGCTTCAGACGTTGCAGGTCCAAAATGTAGAACAGCATGCGGTTTCCCCAAAGTTTCGTCCTTTTAGGGCTGCATAGTAATTTGAGTAGAACATGTTCTTGGCCTACCTATTAGTTTGTATGTTCTTGAGCTGTATCAAGGAAATATCGATGTCTTTATTGGTTTTAAGTTTCCTAAAGCGAAGGCTGACGATTCCTTATGCGGTTTTGATTGCAGTACTAGCAGCACGTTTCAATGGTCCTACAACTTGTGGTTAAAATAATAGATGTATTATCATGTATAGGCGTCGCAGAAGGTTCGCTATTGACAAGGTTACCGGGTCCGATCCTGCTCCTAGCTCAGTGTAAAGTCTAAGCTCGTGTCACGCAGGTAGTTAGTTATTTAGCCAAGTCCAACCTGGCAGTGCGCAGCTTCGAAAAGCTTGCGCTTGATCAACACTTGATAACGCTATGGCTGTTTGTCGGGTGTCATGAAGTTTCTAAAGGAACTCTGTCACTAATCGAGTCTCGACGAGGTGACTCGGCTCGCCTTGTATACACATTCAGCTTCATCAATGGAGAAGAAACCGCAACACCAGCGCGATATCTTCTCTGCGTTATGCTTTAGTGGTGAAATTGGCGAAGCCAATACGTCCGCTTTTCACTGCAAACACTTGCCACTGTAGTCTTCACCTTCGTAAAGATCTTTGCACAGCAACTAATTGAAGCATGCGCCTCGCTAGCCGACCCTTACACTACGTAAGTCTTTTGCTTACGCTATGAGTACATGGCAAACTGAGAATTACCAAGTGTTCTACCACGATGCACTGGTCGTCGTCTATGAAGCCGCCAGTGTGTTCAAACGTGTCAAATTCTCGGCGATATTTTCACAAGCGCTGATGACGCAGCTCATAAGAATGAAATCCTCCATCGTTACGCGTTTGCTGTGGTCGTCTACGTATCCCAGCAAACACTCCCCATAACTCTCTTTCAAAGCCATCGCAGCTTCTGTCAGTGTGAAAGATTCGACATTGAGCAAAGCTTCAGGTGCGGAACTTTCGCTAGCTGATGACATACCACGGAAGAGATATCGTCGGCTGGGGTTCATCATTGGCCTCGTATCCTCGGAAAGGGTAGATGTGAGATTTGACATCTGGTAGGCTGCCATGTCGACGAAATTGGATGATCGACGAGGTCGAGGTGACGGAGCAACAACAGTAACGTGCTTTTGTCTGCCAGGAGTTGAGGGATCTTCAGATTCGTCTGCCTGCATGGATTGGATAGAGTTGCGGCGAAGTGTGCTTCTATGAAGCAAGCGAATGCCACTGGAGGGAGTAGGCTGTGCTCCATTGGGCGTCACCACGTCCGATATCGGAACTTGCGGTTGATCATCGTAGATCTCGAGCTCCAGTCGAAAACCTTCGTTTAGCGCCTGCATGAACTCGCTGAACGAAATCTTGCCGTCGTTGTCCTTGTCCACCAGCTGCATGAATTCGTCCACATACTGTTCCATTCCTTCGATGCCTTGGCTACCAGCGTACGGCATGAGCTTTTCCAGCAAAAGACTAAGCTCCGAGACATCTACAACACCGCGACGGTGCACGTCGGCGATACGAAAGGCTTCCTTCATCTGCAAGTAGATCGCGTGATCTTCTGCATTTGAGCCTGAAAACTCTACTCCGAACAAAGTCGCTAGTGTATCAAAGGCTTCGACAATACCAACCTCTACGATTGCCAAACTCTGGTCCCACTTGATTTTTGCCACAGCAGGCGATGTTGTAGTTACGTTGGGCAGCGGTGAGGATGGAGACTGTGGTGACAAAGAGTTTCCAGTTCGAAACCTTTCCTCACCCACCATTTCTGCGACGGCTGCTGAAGTCGGAGAGGGAGGTTCCTGTGCTGCAGTAAATGCTGCAGTGCATTCAGCGTCGATCCGACTCTGGTGCCAACGTCGCAAAAGCTTGTCTTTTCCGCTGCTTCGACGATTTTCGTGCCAGTCAATGAGGTCCACAAAAACATCGATTCGATCGAGAAGTTCGCGGCAAACGGCTAAAACTTTTGTGTACTTCGATGTAGAGAACGGCGGCTTCCACAAGGTTGGCTCCATGGTAGAGCCATCTAGGAGGTTCGCTTGAGTCTTCAACAGCTCAGGGATTGCGGTCTTCATCTGAAATTTCAACGCCTTAATCTGAGTGCGACTTAGCAGAGCATTAGCTGTCTCGATGTCTTCTTCAGTGAGAGGTCCTGTGGAAATGCGTGCTGGACGATTGTACGCAATGTGGTGACGAAATACGTCGCGAAACACTCGGCGGTACTGCATCAATAATTGCTGTATATTACTACGAAGTAGGCCGCGCGAGCTGCGAGGGTAAATCACAAGTTCCACAACCATCAGGATGAGAATACCTAGGGCATTCTGAGTGAGACTTGCGTATGATACCGTCGTTGAGGACGATGTATTTCGGCAACCGTGGTCGAGTAACACCGAGGCAGCCATGAAAGCTGACGTCATTCCAGCCAGTGCCATATATCGGCCACAAAACCATACGTACATGGACCCAACAGTCCACACGAACAATACAATGTTGTTCAGCGTATTGTACACGTCATCATCCACCACTGCGCACACGAAAAAGCTAAATATGGATGGCACCACTGTTCCCGCCACCAAACCTCCGACGCGGTTCACCGTATTTCCATAGGTACCGCCAATATTATCTTCGGCAACCATTGCGATGGCTGTAGGCGCAGTAGAACTGAAAGCAAAGATGAAAGTTGAGCAGCAAATTCCAAATATAATTGCCAATGTTGTCCGAAATGCGAAGATAATAAGACGGCGCGGGTAGTTGGTAGGGTGCAGCAAACCTTGGTATGCTAGCTTCAGAAAATTTCTGACTCGGTACCGCGCCGAGAAATTCTTCCCATTGAAAGTACCTTCAAAGTCTAGCAATGAAATCACAAATACGTGAAACGAGTACACGAATACGTTTAGTGGCATCGTTTTGCCCACATCATGTGCTGTGTGGACATCAGCCGAAAGCAAGTTGCCGTAGAGTATCGTGTACTTTCCCATGAGCTGTTCTACTGCCCGCTTTAGACTGGCAAATTTTGGTGAAGACATACCTGACCAACACCAAACCAAACAAAAAAGATGTTAGCTCACAAGAAACGACATTAACAAAAACAGGTACTTACTTCGAGATGAATGTACGATCTCGAGCGAGATGTCCTCAAGCAAATCGTTTGCTTCAATTTGCAGCACGTAGAATTGCGTCTGCATCTTCTTGAGCAGTACAACATGCGTCCAATGGCATGTCTCTGCTTCAATGGCAAATTTCATTGAGTGCAAGTCTGCAAGAAGCTTTGCATACAGTTGTACAAGCTGCTTGGCCACAGTCTTGTTGAAGTGGAAGCAAGCGCCGAACCCAACAAGCTCTTCCCACCAGCAGTCACTCAACAGTGACTCCATAGTCGCGAGACGCTCATGTGCATTCTCCAGCAGCCGATCAAGTCTCAGCTTAAAGAAGTCCATTTTCTTGATATCCTTGGCGCGGAAACAATACGAATCGACTATCAGGTTCAGAATATCACGGATATCATGCGGCGACGCAGCCATGTGCCTCCGTAATTTTCGCATCGCACTAACATACCAATGGTAAGTACTCGTCGTAACTCAAACAGTGATGGATGTACCTATCCAATGCTGTTATCTGACGTACAAGATCGGATAAGGAAGTATCATGATTACGAGCGCGATCAAAGTGCCAACAACGCCCACAGCGCTGTAGATGGCTAGCTGTTTGAGCAGGTTATTCTTGCCATAATAACTATTGCCATCCGAGTTGTCTTTGAGCGCTGTGGTGAATATCGGATTCATTGGGTTGACAATTGTCAATGCTGTGACAACAAAGCAATAAGCATGAAGTTGTGATTACTCGTAGCATCAAACCGAAATCCTTCCTGACTACTGGAAAACGTACTGAAATACAAGTTGGTGCTGACAGCAAATTTTTTCACGTTCCTTTGCTTGAATACCGCACAACAAGCACGTTAGTCCATCATGAGCACCACAACATGAAACTTGTATCTCACTCGACGTACGATAGGTAACAGCAGTACTACTAGTGTAAAGAGTGCAAGCAACGGGAGGGTCGTACCCCAATCTTGCAGACTAACGTAATACGTGCTGCCTTTCAGGTTTTTGGAGACAGTCATAAGGTTGCCTTGGGTTATCGGGACACATGCGAACACCACAAAATTGTACAATAGTGCAATGGCAACGCCCACATCAATCTGCCACACCTGTTCCAGCACGCCACCTACTGTATTGGAGGCAGCGTAGATGACCATCATCGAGGCGACCGTGAGGCCTCCAAGGTAGTAATTGGATGGCAACAAGAGCCATTCCCGATCACTTCCACGGGTTTGCACCACGTCAGCCAACAGGACTCCGATTGCAATACGGACTGCCAATTGCAAACGTTGTTTGAACATTCGCATCTCTTTCGGGTGCTTGTTCTTTTTAACACGATCGACTCGTCGACGGAGGTTCTCGGCCACTGCATTCGATAGAGATGGATTACTAGAAGCTCGTTTTCGGAGACGTAAACGCATGGACTGCGATTGAGGCGGCGGATATTGTAAATCAACATAAAAGTCGCCCCCCGTGCTGGTGGTGAACGTTGATGGCATTTCGGACGAATTCACATTCACGGACACATGGTCATTATGCGATGGCATCAATGGTTCAACACCTGCTGCGTTCGAGTTATTAGGACGAAGAGGTATGCTTTGCATTTGGAGATATTCAATGTGATTCAAAGTGAGCATTCAAGTTGAGCTGTTCGTGATGGCAGGACGCCATTTTGGCTGTCACATCTGCTTGACCTACGACAATCGATTGAAATGAAAATCGAATCAATTTCGTTTTTGTATGGAAAGCGGATAAAGAGTTTATACAAGCAACAAAACTGATTGAAACAAGGTATTGGTATGACAAGGGTATCCAGGCCAAACGATGGATATACATACATACCTACATCAGACAGGTGCATAGTAGTTTTGAATGATGCTAAGAAAATGATTGGAGATCCAACGTTCCGGCTTTTCAATGTACTGGAATGATCCAACATGCGTAGAAAGTTGAGACCACGCAATACGTTGCCATTCCAACGCGATACTATCCCTTTGATTGAACTCGGATCAGTCTACGAAGCGTGCACAGAGTTGACGTGCAGCTACACTATCGATCCGGACAACTTCAGTTTGTGTCCAGGCTCATTCTTTTTCTCATCCTTCTTTGGCTTAATCTGCGCCAGGAGTACAAGCTGCAAGTAATATGACGCCATGGTACGATACATTATGCAAAATCGTACGACAGATCGCTCACAAGGGATTTCATCTATAGGTGTTATCACCTATTCATTATTAACGCCTAGTTAACTAGCTACGAATCAACACGATGTGGATGTATAGACGCCGTAGAAATTGGCTCTTCGCGTGCTTTGACGCAGTAATGAAGAACAGTTGAAAGCTTTAGCAATGACTCATGCCTAAAGTTTCACGTTATTAATGAATTATTTCAGCTGCTGCACATTGGTACTGCTAAGAATAGTATTTGTCTACGTGAGACCATTCAACCGTTACCCATTTCTATGAAGAAGAGTATTAGTAGGTACATCTTCGTCTCACTACCTCGTCTCAGAGAAACGCAGTTGTCATCAGCAGGTAAAAGTCGTTCATAATCGAAATTCCCATCAGGAGCTCCATTAGCTTTGAGACATATCAATCGATATTATGAGCACAAAAGTTGATCCCACCAACTCCGATCGTTCGTCGTGGAAGAGAGACAATCCAAATCAGGCACGTGATGCCATCTCATGGCACGCTTACACTAGTGGCTTGAAGGCCGGTACTATCACTGCCATCTTTGCTGCTGCAGCTGTAGTTACGAGCAACAAGTACTGGCCAGCATTTCGAAACCGTTTAGGCGTAAGTGGGAAGACGGCACTGATCGTATCGCCTTTTCTTGGTGCTTTTACGATTGTGGCTGAAAATCATTTGGTGCATGGCGCTCGGAACCCTGACATGTATTTGGCTACTATTGACGGCACGTACGTGGCACCGAAGAAAGAGGCGTCGCAGCTTAAATTATGGCAGAAAAGTGCCAACTTGTTGTACGACCACCCGTATCGTGCTCTGATCACAGTGGGTGTGCCTCTTGTTGGTGGCATTTATAGCTACCAGCATTTGAACAAGGGCATTTCGGTTTCGCAGCAGATCATGCACACACGTATTTACGGCCAGGCGTCAGTGGTTGTATTGCTGCTGAGCTCTATGGCTTTTCATGACTATATGGCCAAGCGTGGCAAGTTTACGATTGAGGACAATGAGGAGTAGAAGATGTAGGTGAGGCCTAGAGGATGCTATGTGAAAGTCCTTTTGACATAGGACTAGTAGTCTCGTCCTGCTACGGAGTAAAAAGACATCATTCTGTGGCAGGTTTGAGCTGTCACAAAGAGTCAAACATACGTCATATATGACAGATGAACTTGCCTTATCTTGACGTATATTGCAGTGTTTTGTTTCTCTTGATGATGGAGGTGTCAATAAACTCGAAGCCATCAGGACACGAAATAGAAAAGGAGTTGCACGATTGCTGTGAGATGTTTAGAAGAATGGCAAGAGTTGAATAACGCAAACTAGTGGTTGTGTTATATATACTACTACTGCGGCAACTACAGTTCACATCCATACGCTCACATTTTGCATGGTACGACAACATACGACGTCATTTCTACCCAAGCACCTTTTGTGCTAACTTTGCTACTTCTTGGACTTTACGACAGCATTGGTTGCTGAGGGTCCGCATGTCGAATGAGCAAGTCCACTGCCACTTCAAACGTTGTGAGGTAATAACCAAGCTCACCAGTGGTATTCAAAGGGTCGCACATCACCCGCAAAAACTTGCGTGTATTCAGCAATTGCGACATATTGCTCATGACTAGTACAAACAAGTGCACCGATATAAACTCGTCCGTGGTCATTGAAGGCCGTAACACCATGTCCAGTTCCTCAATCGAAGTGAGACTCGTCGTGTCTACAGACGAGGAGGAACAGGACGATCCACATGTTTGAAAAATGGCTCCCGCAGCACGCGCCAAACACTTCAACTTGTCCAGAGGTAGTGCATACTCGTTCACGCGGCGTAGCTCGCGGCGTGCATCTTCCCAATCACTGCCAGAGCCAGCTACGATATGCGGAGGCACTCCGAAAAAAGACCCAGGCTTCGTACGAAGTACCTCGATCTTTTGTTTTAGTGCAATCTCATCATCCCAGTTCGTAAGCGTGTCTAATGCCTCATGAACGTGGTCCTCCAGCGGCACCAACACACGCTCCTGTACAAATCCACATACTGCATGCTTCACTTCGTCCAGAAACTCGTCATAGTCCGGCTCCGAGCGCTCCAAATGTGCAGCTCCAAGCTGACCCAGCAACACATCGTCCTTCAGCATCTTGGTGTTGATCTCCCCCATCTTTCTAGACACCGTACTCAGAATCGTTCGCGCTTTCCGCTCCGGCATAAATGCGTGCTTATCATCGAGGCTCTTCAGAGTGAGTGCTAACACGAATGATTGACACACACGGGTTACGTTATGCTCGGGTGCGCCAAAGATTTTCAACACGAGCTCCGACGCGTTCAATTTGTTTCGAAGAAAAAAGCACGTGCATCCATCACGATCAATTACGTCGCAATGGCGAGGTACGCCGACAAACTCTTGCAGCAACAAAACTGCCTTCCTCCGTCGTGGTCCGAGCGGTGCCGGCGCGACCAACGCCGCTGTCTGTCTCAAAAATGAATCAAATGCAACTCGTCTCTGCGTGTTCAATGAGCCTCGGAAAGCAAACAGTTTTTTTGGCAGCCTAAATCTTCGCAACCCTCGTAAAGTTCCCCAGAATGTCTTCTTTACCGGCGCATTTACAAGACTTATCTGTTCAATGTGCGAGTAGAACAGCATCATCTCCTTGAGCGTTTTCTTCGTCTCCCACCGCATATTCGTTTCTGCATCCGACACCTTCAGTACAAACATGGTTTGTCCCTTTATTGTCTCGACCTTCACTACACGCACCACTACGGCATAACGAATATGATTGTCCAAGTATTCTTGGGACGCATTGTGCGAATCAAAAGCTTCCTGTCTACCAGCGTCCGTTTTGTCTTCACTAGCCAAGCTAACACGTTCTTTTTTGCAGAGACAAACGCGCCTCAAAGAGGCGGATGATGTGCGTGGTAACTTTTTACTGCGTAGCTCCATCTGGTCCCGTATCTGATTCGACCTCTCGTCGCTCTCATTTTCATCTGGTCCAAAGGCAGCGATGAGTGCGTCAGCGCTGCTGTCATCTTCACATTCACTGCTTTCTTCTACATCACTGAGGTAGCAGAGCGTCTCGTTATTGGACTCGCTTGGGTCCTGTACGTTCCCGTCCTGCAAGTCCACAAGTGCTCGGCAGCGTTTACGTCTTGTGCTTTCCTGCAAATGATCCACAAGGCACTGACCACTTATAAGGCGGTCCACTGCTGTAAGCTCGAGCGCCAGCTCAGCACAGTCTTCATCGTGCAATACTTTATCCAGTACTGGACACAGCAGATTCGTCGGGTCTGCTCTGCGGTTCATACCGCAAATTTGATAATGAGGTGACAAATAGGCGAGTTTTTGCGATTTCCCTTCGAAACTTGATAAGGATGTTCAAAGAAAACACTTTGTTTGTTTGAACTTCGGACCGGATTCCTCTCAAAGCTGATGATGAGGTGGACCATTTCAAATGGTGAATACATTGCTGACGTCAGAGGCACGGAACTACAAAGTTGTTGTCCTTCGTGAGAGCTCAATGATTGAGATCCAGTTTTTATTCATCACCATGCGGTTGAGTCGTGCCATAGGACACATGAGCTTTCGTGTGCAATGGATGGAATCAACAGATGATGACCGCCAGTAAGCAATGATTGCCAACCCCATGCATTACATACGTTTTACAAGCAGCCTTCAATGATATCCACTTGTGGACTGCTTATACGCTGCTTGTCAACAGTATGGTAGAGTTGACCGTGGTAAGGAGGACATGTAGCATAATTGTAGAATATCGTTGGATGCCGACGTTCTCGAGTCGCGATCTGAATCCAGTCCCGCTAATAAGAAGCGTGGGCATGACGCTCGTGCATCATGCCACGCTGATTAAAGCTAGAACATTAGCTGACTGTAAAGATGACCAGCGTCAATAGATTCATCGGTACAATAGTAGGATTCTCCCTTGTCTACGTCTGCCTTATTACTACAATCGCGGCAAGAATTGCAACAGCAGTCAGCAGTTCAGGGAGGAAAATAATGCTGCAGTTGAAATCAAAGCGGTCGTAGTATCCTTCAGGGCAATACTCCTTTACTTTTCTTTCTATTCTAGTGAACAGTGCTGCTGTATTTCATTGCATTGCCGTAGATCACACCTCGATCGTTTCAATAGTTAGTAATAGGCACGACTCGATTATCGTAGTGTTGTTCGCCACGACCGAGTGTCGTGTTTCTAAAAATTTGAAGGAATCTTGCTGCAACTTCAGACCCCATCCCGCTTTTTTACCACCATGTCGCGCGAACGTTGCTGTTAATAAAAAAGGTGACCCGAAGCAGCAATCCGTCTTCCAATCTAAAGCCGGTCTGGAGAACGTGACGCGAGCCGATCCTGCGCTGTGGTCATGACGTCCAACGGGTCGATGAAGTTAGGGGAGCTGCCAGCATTGGAGGATGTTCCTCCTAGTGATCGCATGCGTTTGTTTCGTCAGAAACTCAAGCTCTGCTGTGCATTGTATGACTTTACGGACATGCGCAAACAAGTGCGAGAGAAGGAGGCCAAACGGAACGCATTGTTGCAGATTGTCGAGTACATTTCGGCTGGAAAAGTCGCGTGGGATCCCTCAGTAGTAGCTGATCTACTTGAGTGTGTGGGTGCCAACATTTTTCGCCACTTGGGGCGCAGTTCTAACTCTGCGACGATCAATGCCAATGGCAATGTGGAAGGTTGCTTCATAGCTCTTCCTCCCCCTCTTTTTTTCTCTCCCTGTTGCTGTTTGACTAATACTTTGGTAATAATGTTGCTCTTGATAGCTGTACCAGAAGATGACGAACCGATGCTGGAGTTATCATGGCCACATATGCAGTTGGTGTATGAGATCTTACTACGTTTTGTGCTGTCGAAGGAGGTGGACTCTAGAACGGCCAAGGAATATTTTAGCAAAAAGTTCATGATTAAATTACTGAATCTATTTGATTCAGAAGATCCGAGGGAGAGAGATTACTTAAAGGTATGTAGAAGGGTTTAGTATCTTTTGTTGGTACATGGAGAATGGAGATTCATGTACGTGGGTGGAATTGTGTGCTTTTGTTATTGTAGACGATTCTGCATCGCATTTATGGCAAGTCGATGGCGTTGCGTTCGTTTATTCGTCGCTCGATCAATGACATGTTTTACACGTTCGTTTACGAGACGGAATCCCTGCAGGGTGTGGGCGAGCTACTAGAGATTTTAGGGAGGTACGTCTAAAAATGAGCAAAAGCTTACATCCGGCGTGATTATTTCAGTTTGCTGTGTCTTTGTGTTGCGCTGGGTGTGACCTAATCGTGCATGTTTCGTGTACGTGCAGTATCATTAACGGCTTCGCTTTACCGCTTAAGCCGGAGCACCAGAACTTCCTCGAACGTGCGCTGATTCCGCTTCACACGGTGCGTGTAAAACATTATATGATGTACGCGATTGTGTGAATTCCAGAAAGAGGCTTACTGCTGCTTTGACATTTCGATATACAGGCAGGAAATTTAGCAATGTTTCACCAGCAACTGGCTTATTGCACTACGCAGTTCGTGGAAAAGGACCCGCAGACCTCGGAGCCTATTATCATGGGGCTGCTAAAGTTCTGGCCTGTGACTGCAAGTGCCAAAGAGGTATTTGTCTGTCAGCTTGCTAGTTATAGCTGCATCCTCAGCGACTTATTTGGCTTTTGTGGTGTTGGTGTCATGTCTTGTCGGTGTCATAGATTTTGTTCCTGAACGAGCTCGAGGAGATTATCGAGATGATTCAGATGGAGCAGTTTGTGGCAGTGATGCGGCCACTTTTTTTGCGAATATCGCAGGCCGTGTGCAGCAGTCACTTTCAGGTTTCTCAGCGCGCCTTATATTTATGGAATAATGAGGCACTGGTGCGACTTGTAAGTGCGCGACGAACCGAGATTTTACCGTTAATCTTCGGGGCACTGTACCGTAATTGCGAGAACCACTGGCACAATACCGTGCAAACATTGACGTATAACGTACTCAAGCTCTTCATGGAGATGGATTCGCAGCTTTTTGATCAGTGCTCGGCACAGTTCGAAGAGCGTGAAGGAAGGTGAGGAAACATTGAGTGTTCGTGTTACACTTGCAAGTCCTGCTTTGCACAGGCGGACACTTGTTTGACCCCCTCTCCTCCGCTTCGAGCGTGCAACGAACATGATCTAACGCTGTTTATGTATGTATCCTTGTGCCTTCATGTCACTCCAGGGCGCAACAGACGACGGAACAACGCCAGCTCAAGTGGACAGCCTTAGAACACCGCTTGCAGGCGCAAGGACTGATGTGAAAGCTGCACAAGAAAATCCGTCATTGCTACCATCGATCAATAACAAGTACACAAATAAGGCGGGTAGCGTTCTCGTCGCATCACTTCGCCAATTGTGGACGACGACGGATATCGAGGAGTTAAAGCAAGCAAGAGGGTTTTGTCCAGCTTCACAAATGAATGACCGGCTCATCACGACTGATTACACAGGTAGAATTAGGCCGGTTCGTACGACTGGAACTGCGGACACGAACGTTCTTGCACGAGCAACGCTTTTTTTTCAACCGCTACCATTGTCCTATCGCGATGTGTATATATTTTTCTTCTCTTTTTTGCCACTTTTTAGATTTTTATTGTAATTTTTTTCCCGAAAGCATGAAAATGCAAAGTTGAAAACGGGTCCATAACTGAGGCCGCAGACCCGTCTTCTCGTCAGCCCATATTTTTATTCTATGTGAAGTATGGGTATTAAGTACGTTTCTGTCCTTCACCCCTCCGGTTCTATACAAACATCAAGTGAATAGATGTGTGTGGTCCTCATTGGCTCCCCCTGCTGCGATGGCTCTGCGCCCCTCGTTGGTTCATTTCCGCTTTTGGCTACAGACGGGAGCAATTCGACCTTGTAGGAAAGAATCTAAAGAGATGCTGTCACGTGTAGGACTCTCTGCGCTGCGCAGTGTGCGCTCAATGGCAACGGACGCCAAGAAGGCGCCAGCTGCTTCAGTTGGTCAGATCACGCAGATCATTGGTGCCGTTGTGGACGTTCAGTTTAAAGACAATTTACCGCCTATTCTAAACGCTCTTGAGATTAAGACCCAAGATGATACACGTATTGTACTAGAGGTTGCTCAACATTTGGGAGAGAATACGGTTCGAACCATTGCAATGGAAGGCACGGACGGTCTCGTACGTGGTCAAGAATGCGTGGACACGGGCAATCCAATTATGGTACGGTGTGTGTCTTTTTTTTGTCGAAAGTATTGGTATACCAGCTGTTAGGGTTGTAGAAAGGGATAGAACATATGGAAATTGGAAATTCTGATGAATGTATTATGACATGATCGTTGATAGGTTCCCGTGGGTCCAGAAACCCTTGGCCGTATCATGAATGTGATTGGTGAAGCTGTTGATGAACGTGGACCTATTAATGCCAAGCGTCATGCTCCTATTCATGCGTCAGCTCCTTTGTTGACCGAGCAGGGTTCGGGGGCTGAAATTCTGGTTACGGGCATGAAGGTTGTGGATCTATTGGCTCCATATGCTAAAGGCGGTAAAATTGGTCTCTTTGGTGGTGCTGGGGTTGGCAAGACGGTTGTGATCATGGAGTTGATTAATAACGTTGCCAATAATCACGGTGGTGTCTCGGTTTTTGCCGGTGTGGGTGAACGTACCCGTGAAGGAAATGATCTGTACTATGAAATGATTGAATCGGGTGTGATTAAGATCAATGACGATGGTACGACAACTGGTTCCAAGGCTGCTCTTGTGTACGGCCAGATGAACGAACCCCCTGGAGCTCGTGCTCGTGTTGGGTTGACTGGTCTTACGGTTGCAGAGTACTTCCGTGACGTGGAAGGTCAGGACGTGCTGCTTTTCGTTGACAATATTTTCCGTTTTACGCAAGCGTGCTCGGAGGTGTCGGCTCTTTTGGGTCGTATTCCATCTGCTGTGGGTTACCAGCCAACGCTCGCCACGGATCTGGGTGCTCTCCAGGAGCGTATTACCTCGACCAAGAAGGGTTCCATTACCTCTGTGCAGGCCATTTACGTGCCAGCTGATGACCTTACGGACCCTGCCCCGGCCACGACGTTCTCCCACTTGGACGCCACGACCGTGCTGTCGCGTCAGATTTCAGAGCTGGGTATCTACCCGGCTGTGGACCCGCTCGACTCCAAGTCGCGTATGCTTGACCCTCGCATTATCGGTCAGGAGCACTACGACGTGGCCCGTGCCACCCAGAAGCTGCTGCAGGACTACAAGGGTCTGCAGGACATTATCGCCATTCTTGGTATGGATGAGCTGTCGGAAGATGACAAGCTCACTGTTGCCCGCGCTCGTAAAGTGCAGAAGTTCATGTCGCAGCCGCTGCACGTTGCTGAGGTGTTCACTGGCAAGCCTGGCAAGTTCGTGCCGCTCGTAGACACGATCTCGTCGTTCAAGGACATCATTGCCGGCAACTACGACGACCTTCCGGAGGCTGCCTTTTACATGGTTGGCGGTATCGATGAAGTAAAGTCAAAGGCTGCTGCTTTGGCGGCCGAGCTTGACGAATAAGTTACTTGGTTCGAAATGCAGAGCAGATAAGCAACTCAACTCTTAGCGAAGAAAGCGGCGTCTAGTGTACGGCTCGTGAGACTGGGAATGTAACCGAAGAAACTCAAGCTGTCCACTAGCTTCTTTTTCAGCCTCGTTCCATTTCAACGTGATGCATGTGCAACTCCTGCCTTTTAATAAAGCAATGCAAACTTAACATGTTTACCGACTTGACAGAGGATGAAATATTCGGTGGAGGTTCCTTGCAAGTCGTCTAGTACTGAGAAATGAGCACAGCAAAATCGAAACAAAAACAAATGTTCACGTCTGCTTTTTCTAGGTTCATGACAATCACGATAGCAGTCCACAAAGAGGAAAAATCCTTGTTGACCACTTCGATTCCTCTATTTCTAATCATACTCGAAGTCCTCGTCAAAGTCCTCGTCGTCCTCATCATCGTCATCCACAACATCATCGTCTTCCTCGAGTTCAGCGGCTGCGATTATTTCGTCGTCAATAGCCTTCCACTGCTCAGGCGTCGGCTCCGGGTACCGCGACAGGTACGGCAACAATGCAAGCTGACGAGAGATCTTGATTGCCCGTGCTAGCTTGCGTTGCTGCTTGGCCGTCAGACCAGTGAATCGGCGAGGACGAATGCGTCCCGTAGGCGAAATGAAAAGACGTAATAGGTCCACATCAAGTGCCAACTCAACCACATCGGGGTGATTGGCCGCTACAAAGTACTTCCATGGCTTAGTCGTATTCTTTTTGAACGGCTTCCTCTTTTCAGCAGGTAACATCCAGTTAAGCATCTCCGGGGTAATACTGAAACAACCAGCAACAGACTAAAAAGTCAGTTTATCAACCAAGTATATATCCAAATCAGCAAAACAAAGCACTCACGCCATGCCCTGATCCCAGTGCTGAAACGGGTCAGAGGTATCTTCCTTATCCTCATCCACTCCAATCTGACTCTCTGCCAAACTCAGCGAGGCGTCATATCCAGGCATTTCAACGTACAGTCGATCATCTTCAACGTCCAAAGACACGGAAGCTTTGGCACCATTTTCCTCATCATAATAGTCATCTTCTTCTTCCTGATCCCACTCTGCTACATCGTGCTCAAATTTCTTGGCCCAATCAGCAGGACTGAGTTCAGCGTCTTCCTCGTCTTCCTCGTCTTCTTCTTCTTCCAGTTCTTCCATTACCTTCAGCTTATCGTCAGCTAATTCCTGACTCAGATACTTGATTTCATCTGAAAGTTCCGTCGGGTCGTCAATCTCTTCCACTTTCTCAAACGTCGATTTCTTCTTAAACTCTGCAAAAAATACCCATCAAATGTTACTTTAGCACACTGTCTCGCTTATTTTCTCATATATTTCACGTGATAAATTACTTACGCTTTTTGCCATCATCTTTTCCCTTAATTGTTATCCAACGGACTCCACCAATCACAAGCAACGAGTCATTTGGAACAGCCAATGAACATGGAATCAGTGCTTGCAATACGGCGTTTCTGACGCTCGGACCAGCACGACGACCGAATGCTGGATACATTTAACGTACAGAACATCTTATCAATACTAGCAACGGCGTAGAAACTACAGCAATTGACGCACCAGTGATTGCAGACGCGCACGGACGAAGCCACACGCGCATCATTTGTCTTGCGGTTTAATCCTGTGGTCGAGAGTAGTTCTATGTAAACTTGATGGACAACTTATGTAAACCACACACACACACACAGTGCAACGCGAAGTCCATGTGAACCACATTGAAACATAACGATTGGCCGCAAGTTGGAGTCATCCACTTCAAGTTCCTGCTGCCAAAATTAATGGTAATGAAAAACTCAAGACATGCAAAAGTCCACCTGATTTGTCCTTGTGCATGCTCGCTTGCTCGCAAAACGCAGCTGTTCGTCATCTAAATGCAATCACCATTCATGAAACCCTATCCGTCTGCCGGCCACCTCTTCTCTTCTGTGCTGCTGTTCTCCCGTGCTTAGTGCAAAGAGTGCTGTGATGAGTCGACGATAACGAGACTTGGCGGCATCCGTCCACAGCTAAAACACCAGAAGCTACAGCCTTGATTTAGTTTCGCCATCCCGTCCCCCTCATTCTCTCTTCGTTCTCCACCCACTTGGTCCATCGATATCGTTTGCTGCTATTGTTGTTCGCAGGCTTTTACCCACGTATAAAGTTTGCCGCGATCCGTTCTGTAACTAGGCCGTTGACGATGGAGCCTTCGCTGCTGCCATCGACTCTATTTCTCGCCATTTCTCCTGCTCTTTGCCTTTGATATCAGCCATGGCTTGTTCTTTCAGTGAGTATTCCTTTGCGCACTGGTCATATAGAGCCATGTCATAGTCCATGTAGAGCTTCAATACGTTCTGAAAACAACGCAACAAAAACAAAAACAACAACTCGTCAATGAGTGAACGATCTACTGCTAAGGTAAAAAAAGCAAGCACGGCCAGGCATACCTGAGCGAGTCCTTCAACTGTAGTATTCCAGTGTCCCAGCGAGTTTCTATGAAGAGGGCCGTAAATGACTGGCAGAATCAAATGCGCGTGCTGCTTACTCAAGCAACCGTTGTTGACAAGGTGTTCATTATTCCATAGAAACAGCGACCTCTCCGACACTTGAAAGTGTTGGCTGCCGAGCCACTTGGCCAAACCGTTGAAAAGTGGCTTATGCACCTGCTGCAGCTGTTCGCTGCCCATAAGCTCCAGAATCTCCTCCAGCTCGTTCAGGAAGATCACTTGTTTCGATGAGCACGACCACGGCCAAAACTTGACAATGCCCTGAATGATTGGCACTGCCGTATCAGGATCCTTTTCTACATACTGCGTGATGCAATAGGAAAGCTGCTGGTGGTACATTGATACACACTTTGGTTTATGCAGCGGCACGAGTGCGCGTACCAAAAACTGCAAGTGTTCCGCCTTCAGAGGCATGGCAAAACCATTAATGATACTGCCAAGAATCTCTAAAAGCTCACCCACGCCATTGTGTCGCTCTGTCTCGTACACAAATCGGTAAAAGACATTGCTGATGGCTTTGCGAATGAATGATCGATGCGACATAAATTTGCCGTAGATACGATGGAGAATGGTCTTGAGGTAATCCCGTTCACGCGGGTCTTCACTATCGAACAAGTCAATGATCGAAAGACAAAACTTCTGATCGACGTACTTTTTTGCAACCTTTGCATTGACTTCACCCGACACGATAAAGCGCAAGAAAAATTCATACACCACTTGAAGATGTGGCCATGAAACTTCAAGCACCGGTTCATCTTCTTCAGGATCAAAGTCTTCAGTCTGTGGAGGTAGTGCACGACAGATATTCACGGACACCATGGCCATAATATCCGGCATGAGTGATTCCGTAAAGATCTTTTGACCACCAGGATTATTAACATAATCTACCAGTTCCAAAAGTGTCTGCCGTTTCAAATCTTTTCCTCTACCAATATAAAGAAATAAAAACCCACTCATCAAGTTACTAACAAACCCACCCCATAGTCTCCAAAACATATGAAAAAACTCACCGTTTATCCGACGTTGGGTCGTCAAAATTGAAAATAACCGAACAAAGTTCGAGTTTTTGTTGAAAAAGTGCTTCTCGTCGTTGCAACGACGTGTCTTTTAAATGTGGCAAGTCCTTTAATGCTTGAATCTTTTGATTCCTCGCCATAAAGGAGCGACGACGTTCACGTTTTGGTAAAGAAACGTCCGACCGTGCAACGTCGCCTGTTGGCGAGTTTCCACCGTTATTTGTACTTTTTGTACCTCCTCCATCGACTTCCATACGATCCGGAGAGTTTATGCCAATAGGCATGTGCTCTCCGTTGGTACTAAGCTTTCGTTTGACTGTCTGTAGCATCCCCTTCATCGCTAAAGCTCGTCCAAGTGATTGGAATGTAGTTTGATCGGATTCGAGAGGACCCAACACCACGCCTATTGTATTTCCAAAGTCGTTTTGAGCGACAATGAATGAGCTTGGAGCTATTCGTCGTCAGGCACTCTCGTGAGTCAGTCGTGTTTTTCTTCCTTTTTCCTCCCCTCCCCCACCCCGGCTCCACTCCTATTTACCTGCGAAAAAGGACGGTAGACTTTGATATTGACTTAAACAGGGTTGAAGAACCAAAACACGGTAAGCGACAATAGATAAACGCACGGGATGAGAGATGGGTTCATCTCACGTCTTTTGACAAAAAAAGGTGTTTCTACCGTGTTTTGTCATTAGTCTAGTTGAACAAAAAACGTCCATTGTAGCTACCATCTGATTCTTCGCGGCAGATCATCAGTTTCTTACTTGATGGAACTCCGACGGCGCTGTCGACGCAACGTCCGCGTAGCCGAGTTTGTATTGGTAGATGCATGTAATAAAACTATTCGGACCGATGGGAATGGTGCGATACCATCGAATACGAAGAAGTTAACCCTATTCGCTGGTCTAGTCGAGGTTTTGTACGCACGCAACGCTTGGCTCGCAGTGCGTGTGGACATCTGGACGAGCAGAAACATCTGTTATCGCCAAGGTAGTTTTTATAAGATTTGAGAGGTTTGTAAATTAGTAGCAATTTATTATTGCATTGGATTGTATTAATGTATTTTTGTATTATTGCTCAAATAATTAATTGCAGTTAAATTTTCAACTGTCTATCTGCACAAAGGTTTCAATGACAATGACCAAGTGAACCAAGATTTACTGGAGATGATACCGACCAATGCATGGAAAACATTGCAACAAGTTGAAAAACTTGAATTCACTATGTCGGATCGTGGAAATTTACCGGCATTGACTGCCGATGAGTTGACAGAAGTTTTGACAGATGTGGTCCAGAAAATTGTGGAGACTTTTAAAGCAGTACAAGTGCAGGTACGGAATGACATCAGTTTCATTTTGCAGCAAAGTGGATTCAATTGCTGGTATGTTGTTTGTACTTTTGTAGATTTTGCAAACATCAACGTCGCAACGAGCAAAGTTTGAGTACGAACTGTTGCAACATCTTCCAGAGTTGGAAGTTTTGGTGGTGAAGAGACAGAGAACTGGTGACTCTTACGTGCTGTTTGCACTTCCGTTGCTTGATGAGAATTTTCAATGGGATCCCAAAGCTCTGCTTGAGAAGGGGGAGCTGGATTCGGTGTACATTCCTGACGGCTTCAATGCACCCAACTTTTCGGACACGACGGATAGACCGATGGTCTTCATTGGATACTCTATGATGGACGAGAAAAAGAGTAGTTTAGATAATACGTGGCCACTGGTTGTTGAATGGCCCGTTGAATTGCAGCTGTCAAGTCAGGTGACACAAACTCCTATGTCAAGTGAGGCCATATCTTTCGTTGAGCTGATCGCCTCATGCAGGAAGGTAAGTACTGTTGTTTTTGGTTAAACTACATTAGGGTGGATACTAAAAAGTGTCGGATTGTGTAGAAGTTCATAGAGCAATGGAGGAGGCGTAAAAATTTTATTGCGGAACTACGCCGTCGTGTTATAGGTAGGTCTTCTCTTCATGTTGGAGCAAAAGTGTGCAGACATCTTGTATAATGCTGGAGCTAACGTGTGTTGATGTTGTTGATGTGGAACTTAGTGTTAGAATACGATGCTTTGGACTTCTCGCAGGTGTTTTTCATGCTGCAGGAGCAGTTAGATGTGCAAGCGCCTTTGCGGATTATGGTTTTGCGGTTAGAGTTTACAACGGCGTATTTCTTTACGAATTGCATGAGTGACTTACGAGTGAGCTTGCTCAGCGGTGACGATGGGGTTTCTCCTGTTATTGTATCGCTAGATGCCTCTAGCATCTCGCACAATTCCGATGATGGTGCTGACTCCCAAGCGTGCGTTATTCAGTTCCTCGAATTTACGCAAAATGGTTTACTTCAGCACTTTTACGGACACTGAATTGCTCCACCGCGTCTCTATAATACTTGTGGGCGGCAGGTGACGATAGATGCATTTATGCGATAAATACCCACCCGCGTTGTATCACCATACAATTTTGAGCTGAAGAAGGATGTCCTCGCTGATGCATCAGTACTTGGGGTCTTAATCTAACATGAAGCAGGTCCGTGGAATGAATGAATCCGTCTGTGGTATAAGACGCACTGCTATATATCAAGTGCTCGAGTCGTCAAGCAGATAGCACCTACGTATTAGAAAAAGCATCAGAACGTGTTCTTGAACCAGTTCCGGTTGTTAGCGCAAAAGTATTTGCATGTATAAAAGATAAATTAAGCCTCAAGAAAGCCAACAAACTGGCCAAGAGCGATGTTAATGCAGGCACTTTAGATAAAATGCTCGACCAAGTTACAGAAGTTATGCAATAAATTGCCATCGAGCGCCTTCGCGACGAGTGATGGCTCGCAGAACTCTAAGGCTATGGTAAAAAAAATCACCGAAGCATTCTTGTCGTACAAAAGCAGAAACCGCTACGGCAAATTTGTACGACAACGCAGCCAGAAGTACGAGAGCCGGCCGTCTGCCATCAAAAGTACATCTGGACCTCGAAGAAACGCTTGGCTCTATCACATCGTTTGGAAAGAGCAAGAGCCAATTTACAAACGTGCTGGCGTCGCGAGTGCTGACTATAGTGTCACTAGATGCTACATGGATACATGTAGCCCTTCCAAAAGATCACCTGTCAAATACGGTCTTCGGTGTGATATCCGATTACAGCGGATTATATTACCTGTAGGAATGAATATACCTGTCTATATTCATAAAGCAAAACGAATGGCTATCACGTGCCCATTTTTCACGACGAGCTAATTGCTCTACTGTAAAAGCTAGATAGTTTCTTATTGTTTAGCATCTGTGTCTAGTAGCCGACTTGGACTTGATACTTCTTGCACCTCTTTTCAAGGTGCCTCTAGTTGGGTGAAGAGTTCTACCGAGGATCACTTGTCTACAATTCTAGAATGTACCATGGAGTTGCTGAAAAGCGGCACTTTGCGTCTAATTCCAGGCATTTAGTCGAGTTCCTTGGGTGTCGGCAGATAGTAAATCCCTAGAGATATTTGTGTGGAGTTCTTGCTGCAATTTGCTTGGACCATGAAACGCTCTGGACATGTATATATCAAAACGCTTTCTGTATGGTGTAGTGCTTTGATAGTTTGCAACAGGTAGATAGAAATCCTTGCCAACATGCCATAATACCATCAGCTCGGTCTACTTACACCGAGTAAGAGTGCTTTCCAAGGAAGTATCTTTGCCGTGCAAAATGGGATATTAAAAGAGATTCTACAGGGCGTCGGCAAACATAAACATTGTATATAGGAGACGAGGTTCCTGCTGCAATCGGCTTGTACCATCGATGCTTTAGACATAGCTATCAATAGGAGGTATAAAGTAGGTTTCATATTGTTCACACTCCAAACATGAACTTTTTTCACAATGTTTTCTTACGGAAACTGGCGGAACGGATCCGACCTGCCTTGCGCGAAGTGTTGCTGGTTCGTCATCTGAGGATGCGTCAACATGGTCATTTGCTTCTGCATTGGCATCTGCTGCATCTGCGTCTGCATAGGCATGCCCTGCAATTGCGACTGCATTGGCATCTGCTGCATGTTCGGATACATTTGTCGCTGCATTCCTGTAGCTCCGTTCGTGATTTGGAGCTGGTTCATGTTTAGCTGCATCATGCTACCCGACGTGTCTTGCTGTTGCTGTCCCTGCATTGGCATTGCCATCACAGACTTCGGCTGGTTGGCGCCAAGGGCCTTCTGCATGTCGTTTAGTGTTCGTTTCTCCTCCGGGTTAGCAGACAAAGTCTTCTTCTTTTCGCTCACAAGAGAGCTCAAGTCTACGAGGTTGTTCTCTGGCAGCAACCTCGTTTGAAACGCATGAACCTGCGACTGAGAATGCACCTGAGCTTCGTTAGAAACTGTTGCTGGCACGTTCCTATCGAACACAGATGGCTGCGTTGGAGCAAGATCTTGGGCATGAGCTGCAAAGCTCAAACCTGCCAGATCTTGCAAAGGGTTCTGGCTCTGCGGTGCATCAAAGACCGAAGGTCGCAACTCTTGTGCAGGGCAACCAGAAGTAGGTGGCTGCATCACAGACTGGACATCCAAGTCGACACCAAGCAAGTCCACACTCGCACTGCTAGCAGCCGTAGCGACCTTCTTGCTGCTGCGCTTCTTTGTCTTCCGCGACTTTTCCTTCTCTGAAGTTGACTCATTGTCCGTGGACTCACGTGTATGCCGACAAGAACGTAATTTCTTTTCACTTTTGTCTTTGCTCTTCTTCGATTTCGTTTTCTTCGTCGTCATCTTCTGTTGGTCTTCTGGAGGCGGAGGCGGCAGATTTGCCGGGCCAAATGAGAATGAATAGTCCTCCGACGCCTTCTTTCTATCACTTTCTTGCTCACTCGCACTCTCTTCCGAGTAAAATTCATCGCGTTTCTTCGAGCTCTTCTTCTTCTTAGCCTTCACTTTACTCTTGTGACGTCGTTCGTCCGCCGACTCAGGTTCAGACGACTTAGAAATAGCCTCTTCGTCTTGCTCGCTCTCTTCCTCACTCTCACTCTGTCGTTTCTTCTTGCTCTTCTTGTTTTTCTTTTTACTTTTTTTCCCTTCATTCTTCTTCTTAGCATGACGACTCTTCTGGTGATCTGTTGAGCTCACTGTCTTTGACTCGTAACCCCCATAGGGTTTATCACCTGATGGGTTACTCGTGTACCCCGTACTAAAATCCGAATAAGCTTTTGGTCTCTCAGTAACAAAGTCATTTTGGTATCCACCAGTGTAACCTCTCGAGCCATTACCACCAGCGTACGACGACGATGAGGAAGTTCGAATATCTTCCATCCAATTTGCACGACCATCATTCCTTGGCATTTGCTGTGCATAATGGTCTGGAATGGCATCCGACGTGGGTCCACGTGCTAATTTTCCTCCGTATTCAATCACTTTTCCTCCAAGCCATTGACCGCTTTCCAAGATTTTCGTCTTCCAATCACCGGTATCAACAGGAGCAGGATTACCGTTATACGAACTTCCTTGTGCATACTGAGAACCAAAGCGATTTCGATCGTGGAAATTGCCATTTGATGAGAAACTCGAACCTTCGACGGATTTTTGCATCCACATTTTGGATTAAAAGCTAGTGAAGAAATGATCCAGAGATTTTATCTGATTCTTTGCTCTTGAAAATCAGTGGTAGAAAGTAATCCAAGTTATTTTTGACCAATAGAAAATTGTATTAAGTAGTCGAAAAAATATGTTTTGTTTTTAGTAGAAAAAAGGTCGACATTATGGACGACGGTGAGTGCTGGATGGACGGCGAGGATGCAGCGGAAGAAGAATTGCGACTACTGGAAGCGATGGCTAATGTGTCTACATCAATGCAACAGGTCAATCAGATGAGCTTATTGTGACGAATCGAGTTGTGTGTTTATGTTGTTTATTTAGGTACATAAAGTAACTTGGTTCTTCCTCGATTTTTAGTTCAATCAGGTGCTTACGAAGCTTAATCAACAGACGGTGGAGCTCTCCAAGGAGCTAGGAACAGCAGAGAGACAGCTGGTGCGATGATCATGTGACATGAGAGAAGACGAAAGGGCTGATAATTGATGTTCCGTTTGCATTTAATGTGTCAATTTGGCTAGAATGCCCTGTACTTGCCCTTTCAAGCAGCAATATATGAAATGCAGAGCTCAAGTAACGACCAGAGAAGAACGACACTATCGGTGCCTACGGTGAATTCGGTATCGACTCCTGAAGCTCAACGGACAGACCTTTGAATATCCATGTTTTGTATTGCGTTTTGCCCGATAGAATCAATTCCACCTGCCGCTTTTTATCCTCGGCGTAAGACGTTTTTTATTATAAAGTCTTTGTATACTATTTAAATAATATAGTAAAAGTTCTGGAATCTATCATCCGGACAGCTTGGCCGAGTGGTTAAGGCGATGGACTTGAAATCCATTGGGGTAACCCGCGTGAGTTCAAACCTCACAGCTGTCGAAAATACTCTTTAGTTTCATAAAAAAGGTTCATGCATTTCTGATCAACTAGAATTATAGTAAGTAAACCACATGTATGAACAGCTACGTCATCAAAAGTTTAGTGGCGATTTTAATGTGACGTTTGGTCAATTTACTTGGGGCCAACCATCTCTTCGGGGCGTACAAAGCGATCAAACTCCTCACCAGTCAAGTAGCTGAGAGCAATGACGGTCTCACGTAGGGTGGCACCGTCCTGGTGCGCCTTCTTAGCCACCTTGGAGGCTTTGTCGTAGCCAATGTGCGGGTTTAGCGCCGTGACGAGCATGAGCGAGTTCTTCATAAGCTGATCAATCTTCTCGCGGTTCGCTTCGATGCCTACCACGCAGTTGTCCGTAAACGCGTTACAGCTGTCACCAATCAGGCGGATTGACGACAGCAAGTTGCTGATCATTACGGGCTTGAACACGTTCAGCTCGAAGTGACCGTTCGAGCCACCCACCGTCACAGCGACGTGGTTGCCCATGACCTGCGCACACACCATTGTGATGGCCTCACACTGCGTGGGGTTCACCTTTCCAGGCATAATGGACGAGCCAGGCTCATTCGCGGGTAGTGTGAGCTCTCCCAGACCACTGCGCGGGCCCGAACCGAGAAAACGAATGTCGTTGGCGATCTTCATGAGGGAGCAGGCAATGGTGTTCATCACACCACTGGCCTCCACGACGGCATCATGGGCAGCAAGCGCCTCAAACTTATTGGGGGCGGTGATGAACGGCAGCTTGGTCTCTTCCGCAATAATCTTGGCGATCTCAGCATCATAGCCCTTGGACGTATTTAAACCCGTGCCTACAGCCGTTCCGCCAAGTGCTAACTTGCACAAATTAGGCAGAACACGCTCTACACGCTCAATAGAGACAGCAATCTGCTCGCGATAGCCAGAAAACTCTTGTCCAAGAGTCAGCGGCGTTGCGTCCTGCGTGTGAGTGCGTCCGATCTTGATAATGTCGTCGAACTCTTTCACCTTAACGTCCAGAGCATCATGTAATTTGTAGAGTCCAGGAAGTAGCACACGATGAACCTCCTGTACAGCAGCAATATGCATGGCCGTCGGAAACGAGTCATTCGACGATTGGCCCATATTCACATGGTCATTTGGATGCACAGGCGTCTTGCTACCGAGCACACCGCCGGCCAATTCAATGGCACGGTTACTGATGACCTCATTCGTATTCATATTGGATTGAGTCCCTGAGCCCGTCTGAAAGACGACGAGAGGGAAATGGTCGTCCAATTTGCCAGCAATGACGTCATCAGCTGCAGCAATGATCTTCTCAGCGACTGTCGCCTCAAGCTTTCCCTTCTCTAGATTGTACTTGGCTGCGCACTTCTTCACGACACCAAATGCCTTAATTACAGGAATAGGCATACGCTCACGAGCACCACCAATTGGAAAGTTCTCAAGGCTGCGCTGCGTCTGTGCGCCCCAGTACTTGGAATCATCTACTTTAACCTCTCCAATCGAGTCCGTCTCGACACGGAACGTACTGGCGGCACGGACCACTTTAACAACAGTCAGACGACTGGAAGTAGCGGCGGCTTTTCCTACAGCAGCGGATAACATCGTGTTCAACAATTGGGAATTAAAAGGGATTAAAGACTGAGGGGGGAGTGATTTACATCTACGAATGAATGCATTCTAGCCGCAGCTTTTGGCTTTGCTTGGTGTTTTAGTCTACAAATCCAAAGATTTAATTTAGTAAACGTAATTTATATATGTTGTTGTATAATCTAATACCTTAATATGAAAAAGAGTGTCGTATTTCAATGTAATAAGTCTAGCTTCATGTTGACTGTCTTATTGCTATCTGTATCGTACCATTCCAACGGTATCAGATACAAATTAATGCTTGTTGACTTGAATATTAGCTACGTTGTCAACATGTTATCAGATTATCAGATCGTCGCTTGAATATGATGACGCCAACACTTTAGTCTCCAGTATATGCTAAACCACATGTGACGTGGGCTTATTACTTTCATTGCGGTCTGCACTAATAAATGGTAACACACACACTACCGAGGTGAGCATCTATTTCCTATAGACGAGCATGCTTCGTAGAAATATCTACAGCTCTGTCTTCAATATACCTTTTGATTAAATTAGCATGTCCATTTTATAGAAAATGGAGAGGAGTGACACCGCACCACGTAATCGGTAAAGTGATCGATGTCGTCAATTTTGCCAGCTTTGCTTCGTTCTAATCCCTGCGGCATCCGTCAGCACTCGTCGCTCCTTCCGCATTCAGTCGCTTTTCCGCGCTCTTTCTCATTAAGCTGCAACATCATCATCACTCCTGAACCTTTGTAATAGACTATAATATGTTGCTCTAGAGACCGCGTCGCTTTTGCATATATATAATCATCTCTAATTAGTATACAAAAGCACAGTGCTAAGAAACGATGGCAAGTGCCCTCCCGCGCCGCATCATCAAGGTGACATGACGTTCTTCTGCTCTATATACCTTTGTCTCAGGCACTTTATACTAATGTGGTATCTGCTACGCTCATAGGAAACCCAGCGGCTGCTAGCAGAGCCTGGTTCGTACATTATAACTAAATAAAGGGATCCATTGTTGCTCGTTATATTGACTCTTTGTGTGTTTGTAGTTGCTGGAATTAGCGCTACGCCATATGAAGACAATCTCCGTTACTTTCAAGTGGTGATTGCCGGTCCACAGTCGTCACCCTATGAGAGTTCGTGAGCTCGACGTTGCAACATATCACTATACAGAGGGGTATCACTAATAAGATCTTTCTTTTGTGTGTATTCTTAGATGGAATCTTTAAACTCGAGCTCTTTCTACCGGCGGATTACCCCATGGCGCCACCTAAAGTGCGCTTCCTGACGCGTATCTACCACCCCAACATTGACAAGCTCGGTCGGATCTGTCTTGACATCCTCAAGGACAAGTGGTCACCTGCCCTGCAGATCCGCACGGTGCTGCTGAGCATCCAGGCACTGCTGTCGGCCCCCAACCCGGATGACCCGCTGGCCAATGACGTCGCGGACCATTGGAAAACGGACGAGGCTGGTGCTGTGCAAATGGGTGCGTCAAGGACGAACGTCATGAACATGGATACAAGGATGTAGCTAACTGTTTGTGTGTGCAGCTGCGGAATGGACGCGTCGTTACGCTTGAGCTTACAACAAATAACAAGGGCTGACAAACCGTGTCGATTGTAGTTTTTCTTTTTCACGTCTCATTCTTTTCAATGCATTTTGAAACGCTCGCAAAAGGTTCCAGCGGTCGTCTGTTTTATCTTGCTGTACTTATCACACTTATTGAGCGAACAAAGGCAGTGCTTCGTCCGATGCCGAGACAAAAGGTGTGTCAATCAATGTCAATCTGATAATAGCGTGAAGCTGCAAGAAGCTGTTACGGGGCCAGTCGTTTCATGCCAAAACAAAACCTCTATGAAGGAATATAGTATATTCCATTTACCTTGACTATAAATATTCCATAAATTGTTCATTGCACTGATTATAGCCAAAACAAATGTATCATCAAGACGACAAAAAAAGAACAAAGTTGCTCATTCAGAGGTTAATAGAAACGTATCGCCACTCATTTCTAATGGGTCTCGCAGTGGCGAATGGCGGCTGTACCACGACGTCTGCGGCCTTATCTACCACCACGAGGACAAAAATGAAGAGAGTTAAGAAATCACGCAAAGCGTTGCATATCGCTCCACCGCGTATGAAATCGCGTCGAAAAGCTCGTCAAGTGACGACAAAGTTCCATCGTTTAACGCACGAACTGGATCGACTCAAGAAGCAAAATCCCGTGGACGCAGAGCAGCAGCAGCAACGTCATGACCGCATTGCAGCAATTAACAAACAATTAGAAGATCTTGGAGGTCGTCAGGCTTATCAGGACGCCAGTATTTTAAGCACAAGTTTCCACCGGACGTCCAAGTGGGTCTTTCAGCTCCTCACGAGCTTTGAAATGCGACCAAAAGCCAAGCAGCAGCCGCTAAAGGTCTTGGAGGTCGGAGCCATTAATACGCAGCTACTTTCATGTCCATGGCTCGATGTTCGAGCTATTGATCTTCATTCAAGACACAAACATATTGAGCAGTGTGATTTCTTCAGTCTCAAACCCACGGGAGAGTTCCACGTTGTCGTGTCAAGCATGGTGCTTAATTGCGTCCCGGGAGCTGACAAACGTGGCGAAATGTTGCGGCTGTATCGGGAGCACTTGAAAAAAGACGGACTGCTGTTTCTCATGCTGCCATTGTTGTGTCTACGTCACTCACAGTTCATGACGTACGCACGATTCACCAAGATCCTAATGGCTGTTGGATTTCGAGTACGTGAGACTAAAGACTCACCCAAGGTCGCCTTCTTTTGCTTGGAACGGACTGAGACGATGGACGAGACGGCTTCATTTCCACAAAAGTTGTTGGTGCCCGGCGATAAGCGCAACGACTTTAATGTCGTCATCTAGACTGAATAAAGTAGCAGGGTCTGCATTTGAGTGTCAAGGCTCTGCATTTGTGTATCCGCTATATCAATTACCTACGTTCCGTGCATGTCTGCATCTCACTTGGCCTCATTGGTGACGAGTGCCTTGAAGTATATTATACACTCGTCGCGCGACTTCCTTGGGTTTGAGAGTTGCCACACCAGAATACGGTCGAGCAATACTTTCATTTGTGGACCAGGCTTTACACCTAGCAGCTTCACAAGGTCGTTTCCCTACCAGTGTGCGCAAAACCGACACATACAACAGTCAATTCCGTAGTAAGCAGGTGCAAGGTCACACATTTGCAGGATCTTACATTCAACAGTGGCTTTAGTTCCCAGACGCCGTCCAAACCTGCATCTCGAATGTGCGAGATAAAAGTAAAATAACGCTTGGATACTGTAGCGCGTGTGTCAGCAGATTCGTCAACCGGTCCAGAGTCCGTGAGTTCCTGCACTAGCGCTGCGTCGTGGCAGATTTCCCATTGAGCACCGATACTGCGAAGAAGAAGACCCACCTTTGCCCGGTCAAATGCATCAAGTGTTGCTGCCTGAAACTCACTCACGTGAGCCAAAACATTATTCACATCTTTAGCATCGCGGTGGGGTAGCTTGAGCGAATCTTGGATGACAAATGTAGCGACCGATTGACGGCGCTTGTCACGTACACAGAAATCCCGGAATGGCAGCAACACGCATGCCAAGATACGAACCTGTAGTTCATGCTTTTTCTCCAACGCCAACTTATCAACGTCTAAAACCCCACCCGAAGTCAAGTAGAAGTACATCTCTGACACATAAGCGTATGATCGATTCCATACGTTCTGGTCCACCTCCTGCACTTCTCCGTCTGGACGGCATACAGGTATCTTTTCCAACAGAGTAGAGGGCAAAAAGACACTTTCACATAATCCGAGCTCATGCAGCAGGCACAACGCCCGTTCAGGGTGCGCTGCTCTTCCCGTGAGCATATTTGCGAGCTCTTTACCCACTCTTTCTCGACTCACTTTTCGAACAAGTGCCATTCGAACTTCCTCCAATTGTGCTGCTGCACGCAGCTCATCCTCCAAAGTACAATGAAACCGCGATGCAAAGCGTACTGCACGCAGTACACGGAGTGGATCATCAAGCAATGTAACTCGAGGATCCAATGGTGTCCGTAGTCGTCTCTTTTTCAAGTCTTCAATCCCTCGTCCAGTAAAATCTTCCACTTGTTTCGTCGCCAAATTGTAAAATAAACTATTCATTGTAAAATCCCGACGTTCAGCATCTTGCAAAGGAGTTCCTATCGTTACCATTGGAATCCGATGATCCTCCGATGCATACGTCTCTGCTCGAAGGTTAACAAAATCAATCCAGCCCATCTCGTGTCCAATTTGCATCGTAGCTGTCTCTAAATGTTTGCTCTGTTCCGGATTAGCTTTAATCACCCCCACTGCTTTCATCGGACGACCTTGTAACGTCTCGTACGTGTTTATAAGATCTGCAAAGGCACGACCTGTCATCGAATCCACTACAATATCCACATCGTCACTATCTCGACCCAAGAGTTTGTCACGGACCCATCCACCAGCTACACGAAGAATAATTTTATTCGGTACGTGAGCAGCTGCTACTTTTAATAGAAACGTAAAAAGCTCTTCTTCATTTGGAGTGAGTGTTATAATACTAATAGACTTGAGTTCAGTATGACCATTCGACATGCTAGAGTCGGAGTTTATCTTGATGACGCGCTGCTTCTTGCTTGGAGGTGACGTCATGTTTCTGATTGGCTCGTTTGACTGAATAATTTAATTTTTAACCAGTAAAAACGACGACTATGAATATGGACGATAATATTGTCGCGGAAGACATTACGAGGCACATGAAGGCGTTACAACCACATGTAAAAGGTTCAAAGGGTGTCCTGGCGTATCTGGTGAGTCGTGTATATGTTTATATAGTGTCTATAGTCGTTTAAAGTGTGAAATTATGGTCGATAGAACGAGACGCAAGCCGAAAAACGAACGGATGTGAACAAAACTTTCTTGGCCAGTACGATTCATAGGTTTGTTTATGTTGTTGAAAGCGTTTGTATACGCGAGGGAAGATACTTATTGATGGAGAGTTTACGTTCTAGTGCGAACTTGCATAATCGACGGCAGGAAGAGGATAAATGCTGGAAATTACGTCACTTGGAACGAAAGTTGGATACGTCGAGAGATTGGCAAAGGGCTGGTAGACGGAGTCGCAGTAAAGATAAGAGACGAATCTGTGAAAGCAAACGTCGATCGTGGTCAAGTCGAAGTCGGAGTCGAAGTCGGCAGGAACGAAAGCAGTTGAGACGCAGTCGGAGTCGTGATCGTAGCACTGTCAATGAGTTTCTTGATGAGAAGAGAAAGATTGAAGATGAACGCAGCTACTGGGCACGAAAGAAAGCTGGAAAGGTCAGCAAACTATGGGAAAATATGCATTCGGAAGGAATGGTGTCTCTGGAGAACGCTCCTGACTTTAGTGGTGAAGAGTCTGACGATGATGATGTCAAAGCAGTAGAAGCGAAGGTATCGATGTCACCCGAGCGCCATAAGAAAAAACACAAGAAGCACAAAAGCAACAAGAAGCACAAAAGCAACAAGAAGCACAAGAAACACGATTGAAAAAGTGATAAGATTGCTAGGAGACAGTAGATTTTCATGGTGGCGTGATGGACCGGTGCGTGTTGAATTGTAAAGCTGCTCACGATCAATTAGCAGCACTTGAGAGCTATATATAAATCTAGGTATGTATAGAAGCTCCAACACGTTTGCTGCTTGTACTAATTCCACGTCGACAAGGCCTGAGACGTAGCAAAGATCATCGTGAAGACGCCTATTCCGATGACAATGTTGTCCAAGGTGCGGCCCTCGTCTAAAAGCTTGGAGTGGAATAGACATGGGTAGATGAAAGCCAACGGCACGGAGCAGAACCCACCAATGAGGGCCACAAAGTTGTCTAGCTCTTCCTTGCCGAAATACGCAATAGCAGCAGTAAAGCACACCAGCGCGAACCGAAAGCCATTCTTTTCCCAGCGCCAGTAACCCTTCTGACTGTGATGAGAGAATAGGTAGCCTTCCAGAATCTTAACCACTGGGTACAGCATGAGTGGGTACGTGAGCACCAGTGCAAGCGAATACGTGATCTGAACAGTCATGGTAGCAATGCTATCTTGAGCGCTGGGTAGGTTTAGCGTGACGACGGATTGCGTGTCCTGGCCGAACGCGGCGTACACGAGTCCAGCAAAGACCGAGAAGAGAGTGACGAGGAACAACATAGTGTAAGAAAGAATACGCGGGAACTTATGCCTTATATCGTCGTCCATAGCGTCATAGATCGGCAATACCAGTCCAATGCCTTCAAAGCAGTACACAGCAGTACCCAATAGCATGGCCCAGCTCGTCGAGTTGAAATTTTCCCACGTAGCACTGCCAACCGGCGCTTCATCAAGCGTTTGCATCGTATAAGACATGATGTAGACGATGCCAAATAGGATGAGGAGATCGGCAAACAAATTCGTGAGTGCAAAGTATTCGATGCGACGCACCCACGTCAGAGGCGTGTATAGCAAGATCTGGAGCATAATGAGCGTCAATGACGAAGATGCTGTAGTTCTTTGGATACCAAAGGCAGCCAAAATGACTTCACCGATATTCTTTTCCACAAAGATCAAGTACGAGCAACAGAAACCAATCTGCGAGAGCACGAGCGAGATATTCACAGCCACGCGACCAACTTTGCCGAACGCTTTTTCGCCAATAAGACCATATGACACGCTGCTCCGATTCCGTTTACGCACAGCATTGGAGCAGGCAGTCAGACGTAACATGCAAAAGATTGACAAGATGGCAGAGGCACACAATGCCGCCAGTGAGAACAGCATGCCTCCATTCTGAAAACCTTTTGGCAGGAACAAGATGCCGCTGCCAATGAACGATTTGAGGATCGTAAACACTGTTTTTCCAACGCTCGCGCCAGGCTGCTGCTTCTCGGGTCTGCGCTTCCACGCACGACTAAGCAACGGTGTAGCTATGTCCTATCCATTCAAATAGCAATAAAAAGTAATTATCAATTTGCTGCATGACATTTGCATTGTCATGAGTTGCATCACGTACATCTGAATCGTCATCGTCGGCTGCACGATCAAGAGTAGCGACAATAAAGTCTCCATATGCAGACTGTAGAAAGCCTGGAGTCGGCTGAATGGACTCTAAAAATGAGTCCTGGACGTAAATCGGTACGTGTGGACTATTGCCTCCAAGATTCGTAATCACGTGATCTCGACGAAATCCTCCGGGTTGTGCAATGTCCGATGCTTTACCTAACGAGCATCAACAGTCCATAAATATCATCAAGATGAAGTTTATTATCATCAGAAAAAGAGTATGAGTAGAACTTCTAGACACAGACAGACGCACCAATGTCCTCGTGAAGAATATCACTGTGATCCGGTAACGATTTTGGACGTGGTGGACCGTCCTGTGTGTCTTTAAGAATAGCAAAGAAAATATCACGTGTCATATCGGATCCTTCTTCCGTAATGTCATGTACATCTGCAGGAAGTAACGACTCCCCATCGAGATTGGATACGATTGGCTGTTTGTCAAGGTCGGTATTATTGAGCATTTTTGCAATTGGAGCTGCTCGATAAATGAAGGAATCTCTTGAGGGGTCGGATCAGGTGAGTGTACCACATAAGTATGCGACATTTGAATGGCTAGTAAAAATCTGATATGTTGTACCGGCGTCAAATGTTATGGTTGCAAATGCAGCCAGTATCTGAGTGCTCATTGGTTGATTTTACGGTTTTACCTAATATTTCGGATATGCTGGACGGAGAGTACAATATCCTACCAAAAACATCAAACATGTACCCATTTACGAAAAATAGACCCTTTTAGTGGTCTCCATGAATGGCTACATCAAGACATAGCCATTCCATTTCAATGACACGCTGCTTGACGACGTGATCAATTCGGCTCTAAAGACGATGTGCAGCAATTCATATCATGACATTTTTTATTAAATTGTTCAGCTTACTGTGCATTGACACCAGAATACGTATGGCGATCCAGTGTACGTTGCTTTGGAAGACTCTCCAAATACATTTCGGACCTCATCCTCAGCAGATGACCAAGACGCCTTGAATTTCTTCTGCATCTTGTTGGAGAGAAGAGCAATCTGACGCTTTCCCGTACATGCATTCTCCGTCAAACCAGATGCCTTTAAAAATGGAGCAGCATTGACTCCGTAATTCTTGGCATCAGGTACATGCTCTAGAGTTTCTTCAATATGTCTTGCACTGGTTTTTGACAATGTGTGTTGGGGAGGGTGATGAGTGTGGTGCAGAAGTGAGTCTGACAATGCCCGGCCAAGCGTCGGTTGAATCATGGTCATGTTCCTCAAACTCAACGAGCGTGATTTCATCCTGCCTGAGTGACACTGGGTATCATCACACGCTATCAATTGAGCTATCTCGCTGTCTCCGAGAGCATATTCGAGCCATTGAGCAAGCTGGAGCTGGCCATCTGATGTTGCCAGCGACAGCAACTTTTTTCGAAAGTGTCTCCGTAGAAGAGGGCTTTTTGCAGCACTGGAGATAAATCCTCCGTGCTCTCTTTGCCGCAACTCGTGTACCTGACTCCCGCCAGCATCCGCTACCATCCGATTCGTCAGGAGACAGCACAGCAAATCTGACCATGGATAACCCATACACAATACAGTACAACATCTGGTCAGACGCCGCCCTCACGTATGAGCGCCAAAGCAAGCAAGTTAACCTGCAAGTTGTTGGATGCCTTGCTGGTCAAGGTGTTCGCGACACTGTTGGTTTGGTATCTGGAATAGTAAGTCCGCTTTTTCTTCCGGTGTTCCACGACTTGCAACCGACAAGAACTACAGATGCACTCAACATCAAATTGTCTTTACGCTCCTGTCACCGACAATCGTAACAGATAGGAGCACCAACCTGAATCAAACTGTAATAGGAGACATTTCCGTATCCGTCAGGCTTGAGATAGCGATAGATTGGCTCGTGTATTTTGACTGGCCACTAGACAAATACGGTGATACACAAACGTCAGTTGTTCATCCCATGGCCACAACACCTATCTCTAGATCTTTCGTACCGTGTTAAATTCCCGTGCAAGTATACTTTCTATATCATCCTGCCGTAAACCACGTAGCTTTGAACGACGATGCGTTTTTCTTTGATAGCGAAGAAACGCAAACTCGTCCTGAAGTCTTTCCATTTCCAACTGGTCAAAATGCGTCTGCTTTGCAAGCACTATGAACTCGGCCTTGCGCAAAAGAGGCAATCGACGAAGTGCTGCCCGCATGTCTTCAATAGATTCAGCTTTTACACCGTATAATGTGTGTGCTTGCTGAAGCAGCGTCTGCGGAGATAGCTCAGCTGCATTCCGACACTGATCCAGGATGATCTTGTAGATGTAACTGGAGTCCCACTGCTCCTTTTCCTGTGAAAAACTCAATGTCATATTTTCCACCATGCGCTACATTGCCGTTCACAAACAGAGTGTGTTTTACCATGTATAGCTGTATGTTGTCCATTGCGAGCTTAAAGAAGTGCAGTGCGACCAATAGGTGCAGTATAGTGCCATCGTCTTCCCCGAGCATCGTATCCCATACCATATACAGCACAGGCAGAGGCATCTCTCCAACCCAAAGTGAGACGAACCATTTGCAAGACAACAGTGTCGTCACGAGAGGCAGGTCAATCTGACAACTCCACGACAGTAGAAGTGAGATGACAGCACTATCATCAGCAGTCCCAATTAAACTCTTTACCTTGGCAAGGATTGGGTGTAGTGGCACGAGTTTCCTCACAATCATCTCATGAAACAGTTGACAATCCTACACCGTCACAAAAATCCACCGTGATTTGTCAGCTAAAAAATGGCAAAAGCCTCGGCAAAGAAAGCGCACCACTTGAAAGCCATGCAGCTTTGGCGTTCGTGCAAAGAAATCCTCTGGAAAAACTCTACAAAAAAACAGTTGGACACAAAACACAGTCAATAGTCAACGATAAACACTAGAGGTATCGCACTATCGCACCTTTCAATGACATTGGCATAGACCCAAAATGTTTCTTCCTCGTCACGCTTGTCATTTACGTGACCCAATAGGAAACACAATACGTCTGCATGGCCTTGTACATACCCAACACGAGGGTTTCTCTGTATATTGTAGTAGCAAAACCCCATGCAATAAGCAAGAGACTTGAGTTAATCATCGACTTGTTTGCTTCTTTAGCGTCTACTTCCTTCATACCACACTGTATGCTGTCAAAATATTTCTCAGCACGGGCACAAATTGCTCCATCACATGAGTTTCCAGATCTTCTGTATCTTTAGCGTCTTTTGAAATCTCCTGGACCGTCTCACGTTCGTCTTGAGGTAAGAGGAAGAGACGGATGGACTCGTTTGTACGTGCGAGATCGAGCTCAATTTGATGTAAATCCTCCTCAAATTGAGACGATGTACAGCTCTTACTAAGATGAAGATAGTCCTGATACTCGAGTGTACTTTTACTCTTTAGCTCACGAGCACCAAACGTCACAAACCAGTCCCCACGCGACTGCTGCATCTTTGACGAAACTGAGTTTTGGTAGGATGTGTCTTTTGTATAGACTGTGTACTAAGTAGGGTATGTGTACTAATTAGGGTTTATGTGTTAATTAGGGTATGTGTGCTAATTAGGGTATGTGTGCTAATTAGGGTTTGTGTGCTAATTAGGGTTTATAGAAACGCAATCTTTGAGCCTCAAGCTTGTAAGCAGAATGTCGTCCGTTCAAGTGGCGCCTACGCGCATGTACGTTGTATCTAGCTACTTCAACACTGATACTGACTTTTTTTATTGGTAGAGAAACTAACGGTTGCTTTTCTTATCATATACAGGGCGTTAACAACTTTCAAGACGAAAAGTGTCGGAGCAAAGAAAGGTTTAGTAATCTTCTTCTTCTTTTTCTGGTCTTCTGTTTTGCTGCTGTAAATGTCCTGCTTTTTTATCCCATTGTCTACTATTTTTCAATAGGGTTTGAGCTATTGAAGAAAAAGGCCGATGCACTGAAGATGCGATTCCAAGCAATGTTACGTGAGATTCAAAAGGTTTCCATTGTTTGGCTTGGCATCACCCCCTTATAACTAATAGCCATGACGTTTCAATTGTATTGACGTTTTGTTGTCATCTTTTCTTCTTCCAATTGAAAATTGGACAGACCAAGATGTCCATGTCACGAGAAGCATCCGAGGCCTTTTTCTCACTCACACAGGCGCAATACGCAGCGGGTGACTTTCGTAATAAGGTCATTGAATCAGTAAGCACGGCGGAAATTCGTACGCAGAATCGCATTGACAATGTGGCCGGTGTCAAGTTGCCGGTATTCACGGAGGTGAAAGTGAGCTGCGAAAAGAGTGAAAATATTGGTCTTGCCGGTGGAGGTGGCAAGATTCAAAACTGCCGCGAGAAATTTCGCGTGTTGCTGCGAGCATTGATCAAGCTCGCATCGCTCCAAGTAGGTGACAAATTGAGCTGATGTTGTGTCGTTTTGAGTGGGATCTAATTGGGTCTGATCTTGGAATAGACCTCTTTCGTAACGTTGGATGAGGCTCTAAAAGTGACCAACCGTCGCGTGAACGCATTGGACAATGTGCGTCTCGTGTGATAAAGCAACTTGCTGCATCGAGGGTTGTTGACTGGCGATGGTATTGCGTTTGCAGGTGACCATTCCCCGTATTGAAAAGACCATCTCGTACATTTCGAGGGAGCTTGATGAGCTGGAACGCGAGGATTTCGTGCGGTATGGAACACTGTTGCTCTTTTGACTTTGTGTCGATTGTAACTGATTCGATATACTTTCGACAAAATCACGATGCCGTTTGTTGGTATGGTATTGACAGTATCAAGAAGGTGCAGGCGAATAAGCAAGTCATCGAGAAAGCCATCTTGGCCAAGGCAAAAGGTGCGAAATACAAGCATGTACAAAGGTGTGGGTCAAAGGTTCATATTTATCTTCATTCCTCACTGTAGAAGCGGCTGCCAACAAGAATATCGCCGTCGCTGTGGACGACGACCCGTTCGCGGATGTTGTGGCGTCGGACCATGACATCCTTTCCCAGTACGAGCTGTCCGCGGACGCCGATGTGGTCTTTTAGTTGAAAGAAAAGAGCGAAGAAGCTAAAAGACATGAACACTGCGGTTTGTTTGTTCATTTGGCAGCTTGGGAGTCATGCATGCAACTAAACTTCAACAAATGAACAATGCGAGCCTCATAACTGCCATTGACTTGGTTTCACTATTGCCGTTCCCTATCCCTCGTCATTTGAGCTTCCTGGCCAGTCATCATGGAGCCCATTGCCAAGCGTCTAAAACAGTCTGCCGAGAGTGCTCTACACTTGACAATACAAGGAAAAGAGAAGGAAGATATTACTGAACGTATTAGGTGTCTTGAAGCTGAGCTTGGAGGTGAAGGAAATGGCGACTCCAGCGACTCCGACTCCGAATCGGATTCTGACAATGACAAAACTGAAGCAGTCGTGAATCTATCCACTTACTCGGAGCGTATTGAATCGCTGCCTGATAGTATGTTACCAGCTCCAAGATCATCAATGAATCTGCCACTAGCCATGAAGAAACGCAAGAAAACGCAACAGGAAGAAAACGAGCAAGCAGCCAAGAAAGCACTGGAGCTGCTGGGAGACGCGTTAACGTTCCCAAAGAAAGTTCCGTTTGCCTGCAAGTCATGCAAGTTTATTGGAAAGAATATGGAGGAGTTTCAAGCCCATCGAACGTCTAAGGAACATTTGGAGCGTGTACAGACTGGAGATAAGGCGTTGCATTGTGTTTTGTGCAAAAAGTCTTTTACTAGTCAAGTCCAAGTGGATGAACACCGTGCAGGCAAGTGGCACAAGCAGCGTGCCCAGCAGAAGAAGGAGAGACACACAGTCAAAGTTTGCTATGATTTTATGCGTGGAGAGTGCAAATGGGGTGATGGCTGTAGCTTTGAACACACAGAGACAAAGGCCATGCGCTCTGGACGTGCATTTGAAAAGACACGCAATCAAGTGTGTGACAACTTTATGCGTAATAGGAAATGCCGCTTTGGTGACAAGTGTCTCTTCTCGCATGATGCAGAATAGTATCACGATGGAACCGCCAAATGATAAACTCGTATGGCTGGGCTGCATCCGAATCCATGTCTTATCGAAGTGTGTCCGTTGTATCGTCATCCTGCTTCATAGGAAGTGGACTGACAGGCTAAGCTTACAGCTCAAGTTGTTCACTCACGAATGCTTCCACTCGATCAAACGTGAATTCACCATCGAGACGATGTGTGACGTCCACGACAGCTTCCTGCTGCTGCTGGTTGCGAAAGATCAGTACTACCGGAAGATCTGCCGCTTCAATGGACGTGTCGGCTTCCTTGGCCATCATCGCTGCAAACTAGAGGCATTATAACACAACAGTTATCCATCCTGCATCCTACTGTTTGCGTCCATGAAGCACTTTACCTTGACATGGACAAGTTTGCGTGCCAGTAGCTCTAGCTGAGTGTTCAGCAGACCGCATGCGTAATTTTCCGGGTGGTAGAGGTGCACGAGCATACTGCTGCCAGCATGATCACCCGTACTCGAAGTGAGCATTACGAATTGCTTGGGGGTAATGTACTCCAAGTCACCGTAGACCGTGCGACTGCGAGCCACTTGTTGCATTTGCTTGACACGCATCTCAGCATACTGCACCAAGAAGGTGTCATCTTCCATGTCGCTATTGTCACATTCCCAATCCGATCCTTCATCGCACTCGAAGTCAAAGTGTGCACGTACATTCCGCCCCGTTGAAGGATCAAAAGGGACAATGGCACCTTTCGTAATACGGTTGAGGACTGCTTGACGTTTTTCTTCCTCCCTCAGGCGCTACAGTCCGACATAAGACGATATGAGCACTTTATCCGCTCCCTCTTTGAGATGTTCCACCTAAAAACAACACACCTCCTCCTTCTGATAGCGTTTGTGAGCCTTATAGTCGTTGATGACCCCTTTAGGTCCAGTGTGCACTGAAGCAAAGTCACGACCCTTACCACCACGGAAACGCCGCGTAGGCTTTCCCCATGTCTCATCATTCACAAGTCTTTGCCTCCATGGTCCTGTCGGATCAGCTACAGAGCTAACTTGATTTGTAAATTCTTCCTGATCGTCGCTACAGTACACGATTTACAGCAATTTTTAACTGCTATTGATAACGCAAATAGTTGTAGCTACACACCTGGCTTCCGAGTCCGAGTTGACTTGGCCACCGACTTCATCCGGGTCACGATTTTGGAGCACATGGTGCTGCAAAAAGAAGCTTTCCATGACGATTTAAATCTGCTTGATAGTCGGTCACTTTGGCAAGAAAGTAGAAAGAGGATTCAAGACAATGGTGAGCACGTTACGGAAGCAATAGACGATGGAGAAGAAGCTACAGTGGCATACTATTCTTGATTGAAAAGTACTTTATCTCTTAGCTGGCACTTCATGACAACAAAAAGAATACCAAGACACCTCATGTAAGAAATGCAAATCATAAGTCCATGACAAAGTCAACTGCACTGCACTGCACTCTACAAAATGCATTCATCGCTTTCTGTCTGTCCTCAGATCGTTTGCTGTCGGGAGGTTTTAACGTCGATTGGTTTTGACCTTTATCGCATAAAGTCTCGGCTGATTCATTCTCTCGTCACACTCAACCTAAAGACGATTTAGCCCTTGCCCGACTGCTTCATCAGCCACTGGATGACCTGATCAATGTTGACGAGACGTAGCGCCGAGATGGGGATCACCAGCCATGGATTGTCTACAATGTAGTCCAAGTTCAACTCACGAATGAGCTCTGGCTCAGAGATATGAGGTTCCAGATCGATCTTGTTGGCCAGCACCAGCAGTGGCGTCGTCGCCAGTTCACTACACAGCAAAACAAATAGAAACTCAGCAAAAGAAAAGCAAGTGTTGTCAATATATACATCACTATATGGTACCGATCTTCTAGTAGACGATGCAGCTCCTTCCGGGCCAAAGAGATTTGATCAAACTGTGTAGTTTAAAAGTCAGTACCGACAAGAGAAGGACCTCAATAAGCAGGGACCTTGAACATAAATTTCAGTATACAATAATCAAATAGCAGCACGTACCGCATTGGCGTCAACTACATATATAATGACATCACACCCACGTGTATAACGGCCCCACTCGCTTCGGTACTGTGCCTGTCCACCAATATCCCAGCATTTCATCTGTACGCCTCCTTTTTTCACGAGTTTCACGTTAAGTCCAATGGTTGGACACGTTTCAACGGGGTGACCCATGGCCATCACATTCAGCAACGTTGTTTTGCCACTACAGTCAATTTATATTGCAAAAATAACCATCAAATGAGAATCAGGAATCAGATTGAGGAAGATCTCTTCTTTGATCGCACCTGTTTTCAAGACCAACGAGCACGACCTCGAGCTTCTTGGTGTAAAATGCCTGTAGCATCTTCTGTAGAATACCTCCCATGGTTGTGCTGCTATTATTGACTCGTGATCGTGCTGGAAGTACTGCTTAACGTTTCAATATGTAAAGAAGCGAACTGAGTCGACGCTCTTCTTTCGTTTCGTAAGGGGGAGGTGGTTGCAGATGACACTAATGCGAAAGTGTGACTTATCCGTTGTCACAGGTCTTTTTCATGTTGCTGTCCTCAACTTGCAACTGATTTATCTTGCAAACTTCCAAGGATATAATAAATAAGACAGTAGTACTTAAATTATGTATTGGAAGTGGAACTACGAAGCGTACCGTGACGTGCGCAGTGATGCGCAGACTCCGTCACAAGTAGCACAGATTGCGTAAGAAGTAGATGAGCTCTAGCATAGCGCGAGGCGTTGCGCCATACTTGTTTGCGTCCAAGACGACCATACGTCGCGTTGGCAGGCGCGATTGGTTGAGCTTTTCCGCAAATGTGTAGCAGTCACGGCAGTGACGGCATTTGAGCAGCATACGCTCTCGCGTATCCGCATAAGCTGCACTCGGTGTGAAACGTATTATCAGTCTCATTGTGGCACGTTTCGAATTCGTACATGAAACGCATTTTCCTCAGTGGTATAGCTGACTTCTTATCCTCTGAGCGGAAGCGTATCACCTGCACCGCCAGCGATGGAGATGATGATGACACAAGCAGTAAAAGCTTCAGATTTGCTTGGATCTTCACTAATGACGGCCTTAATCCAGCGTTGGCTACGCGTCTCTGAAATGACTGCACCTTTTTAAGCTACCGACTTGGCACGAACTTGTCGCCTTTGCGTTTAATACTGGAAATAATGACAACGGGCATCACCTGACAGCTCGTCGAAATTAAAAGGTGAGACTCACGATCAACCATCAATGAAAACGAGTCACAATCAAAGTCGAATGTTTACCATAATCGCGATCTGTCTGTGATTCATGAAATCATGTACTTGTTGGCCTATTTCTGTGTTAAATCGCATCACACCATGTGAGTCGGGAAGCTCAACAAACCCGGCTGCAAGCGACTCCAAGATTCGACAAGACGTGCATGCTCGTCCGGGTGAGAACGCTGCAGTGCCGCAGGGTCCTGATCATACAATTACAACGTAAACAATGCACATGGTGAGAAGGGTGGGATTCTGCCGCAGGCGTGAGAGAATGGTAGGTCGGCTGAGGTGGCCAGTTTCCGACCAGGTATATCCTAGTCGGTTCGTCACTTAACTTGCTCGAAAGCGCGACTTTAGACCGTCAGGTTGACAAACCGTCCATGCACGAATGAATGTAAACGTACCTCGGCAAAGCAAACGAAGATGGTCGCGACGACAGAGTCCAAGATGGTTGACAAGATCGTGCACATGGCGTAACCGATCGAAGCACATGCCACGAAGGTCAATACCACAACGTTAAAAGTCTCTAAGCGGCACAACAAGGAATCATCATATGAGCACAAGAAACATTCCCCCCTTCTTTAGATACAAGACAGCATGCCACGCACGACATTGGTTTGGGTTTTCGGCCAGCTCGTCCGGTGTACATCGTAGGGTTAGATACAGCCAGGCCGAGCCGATGACTCCAGACACGGCGCCTACCAAAGCCGGTTTGAGTTAGTAGAGTTTACAGACATGTGCAAGGCCTAGAAAACGTACCAGCAACTAGGCACCCTACTGCAAGGACACTTGATATGAGCGAGTCGTTAAGCAAAGCCGTCCATCCACGATCCCGGAAAAGCTGCATCGTGTCCGATCCAGCAAGCCGAAAGTCTTTCCCGTACAACGCTATCTGGCAGAACGCGTACTTATTAAAGTACTGCATATTGCGCATGACCAGCTTGACCAGGAATTCCAGACACGCGTTGGCGCTGCCCTTGGCCTTTCGCCGCGGGGTCGATAGCAAAAGCGTGTGCAGTGCGTTCAGCGCAGCAACCACTAGAGAACCGACACAAATCGAGCCAAGAGACGTCGTGAGCGCACGTGTTTGAGCCCGTTGGATTGTATTAACGTCGTGAGCCCCAAACCACCATTCGCCGACCGCACCGGCGGTGATGCAGTGCACTACGTTCTTGGCAACTTGCATAAACCAGTAAAAACTGCAAAGTTGTCGAACCACACCCCAATTGCGTCAAAAGACGCTAAACAAAAGTCTGTTAAGAGAACAATGATACGTACCTCAGTAGCATAAAGAAGAAGCAAGTGTTGCCAAAGGAGCTCGAGTCATGTAGGTTGCCAACTGCCTTGGCGAAGACACCCACTACTGCTGTACCCCAAATTACGACCCACAGTCCCTGGGCCAACAAAGCCATGTACGCCGATGTGATAACACCAGGAAACATCCGCAGAATCCTCGAAGCAGCTGTTAAATTAGATGCTGCAAAAGCGATCGAACGCCGGACAGAGGTGTAGTACGTGATAATCATAAGGGCAAAGAACAGATTGAAAAAACCAATGGCTTTTCCAGCCATTCCAGAGTCGTAGAAGGAGGCTAGTGAAGCCATGATGAAGGCAACAATGCTGACTCTTAATGTCCACGATATCACGCGTTCTGCATGGTTCTGTAGCACTTGCAGCCATAGCGCCGACACACCGCCACCAACGCAGGACGTTGCCAAGAAGATTAAGAAAATTTTCAGACCATGAGACGAATCGTCCTCGTGGTGCACGGTAAAATAAATGCTTGAGATGTTTGGAAGGCCGAAGAAAAGCTACAAATAAACCAAAAGAAGAGAGAGAGAAAACACATGGAATGGTTCAATAAGGTACATCTGAATCTGCAATTCTCGTGACAAAAAGAACGCACCGCAATGAAGCTCACAGCTCCACAATTGACTGCAAAGGCAAAGGCAAAGAATGAGTCTTTGCGCTCATCACGTCGTCCAGCATGAAGCTGCTGCGGCACTTTCTCCAGCAACATCTCTTCGTCTGCTCGATCTAGTTCCATGATACTTTTGACATCTCTTGATTGGTCAGAACTGATCAGAATTGAAAAATAACATTTCTACCAATCAAAGAGAGGTTCAACATGATCACCACCGCCAAGACCAGCATGGAGATTGCCGAAGCCGATTAGTCAGCACTGCTCGCAACTACGTTCAAGATGAAGGAGTTATAGGCAAGATGCGTGCTGCGAGAAGGAAGCGGTAGGTTAACAATAAGATTCTGTATTGATACTTACTAGTTATCTCTTCTGTCTGCCTCCTAGCCACTCGTTCTCCTAACTGTCTGTGCTCCAACCGCCTCAACGACAGATGGTTGCTGACCAACTTGTCTGCTACCATCTTGCACTGACTATCTCTGACCAGATCAACGGCTGGCGCTAATCGAACTCATAATCTTCAACCTCAACTTCCAACACTCCTCCTCGATTACGCCTCCGTTCTTCCCTTACTCCACCCTCAAACGTCCTTGAACACCCTTGATCGTTCTTGATCTTTCCTTACATGATGTGCACGAGCGCGCGCAGTGTCGAGAGCTTCGTCGCGTCCAACGCCTTCGTGAGGAGGTCTGCGAGCATCTGCTCCGACCTGACGTAGCTCGCCACGATAATGCCGCGACGCGAGTAGTCGCACAAAAACTTGAGGCGCACATCCACGTGTTTCGCCTTCAGCGACGATGCCTCGCCCGCGATCTGCGCGATTGCCGCTTGGTTGTTCACTCGCAACTGCATCGGGAGTTTGGACTCCACGTTCACTTCGCGCAACATCTCACGCAGGCCGAGCAGCTCGCGCGCGACCTCACTCGCCGCAACAAACTCCGCTCCATCGTCGACAGGGATACTCCTCCCTGCTTCCACGCACCCCAGCTGACGGCCATCCCGTTCAGCATTACGATGCCACCCGTCATTGACTTCCGGTCCGTCTTGTCGGCGGCAAAATCCGCGTCGCTAAATGCTTCCAGGCACATCACCGCACCCGGGTTGTCTTCTGGAATCATCGCGACCTTGAGCGCCGCCGTACCCTTGAGGTATCGCGCGACGCGTTTCGCCAGCTTCCAGTCTTTCAGTCGAGGCGTGTGCTCGTCTCGTGACCTTGTGCACCGCAAATGCTAAGTCGGGGCGCGTGCAACGCGCCACCCAGAGCAGCGAGCCGACCAGCGACTGGAACTGGCGCACTGTCGGTCCTAGTCGCGCGCTTGGCGTCCCAAGAAGATCCGCATCGCCCTCCTCAAGCTCGTAGCAGCTGTCGTCGATCGGCTTCCACGTCGAGTTGGCGTCTGAGAGACCGTTGTCGCGCAGGAGGTATCTGATGGCCTCCTCCTGATCGAGCGCGGACCCGCGCTGACCATTGTGCGTCAAGCGCATGCCCAGAAACTTGCTAACCCGCCCCAGGTCCTTAATCGACAACGAAGCAAGGCTTTTGAAGAACCGCTCGACCGCTGCCGCGCTCGTCCCTGTCGCGAGGAGATCGTCGACATACACGCCGACCACGACGAGGTCGTCGCCGTCGCGCTTCCAGTAGAAGCACATGTCGCTCTCGCACCCCGTGAAACCAGCAACAGTGAGCTTCGAGTGCAGCAGCTGGCTCCATAGCCGGCCTGCCTTCTTGAGCCCATACAGGCTCTTTCTCAGCTCCAGCACAACTCACTCGCGTTCGCAACGCCATGCGCTCGCAGCGTCTCCTCCTATACCGGCATGCCGCGCGGCATCTGAAGAAAGATGCGGAGGTGTGGCTCCTTGTCGGCTTTGACGTAGGCGTTGGGGATGTCGTCGTGCTTGGCAGGCACCCCCCACGTCGCCGCAAGCGCCAGGATCACTTTGACCGTCGACAGGTCCATCACGGCAGCGAAGGTGAGCGTGTAGTCGACGGCGAGCACCTGCTCGTTGCCGCACGCCACCAATCTCGCCTTCAGCCGCTCGTGGTCGCCCTGCGCATCCGTCTTGGTCTTGTAGACCCATTTTGTGTGCAACGCGTGCGTCCCTGGCGTTCGCTTTGTGATTGTCCAGACGTCGTTGGCCTCAAGCGCGGCAATCTCCTCTTGCATAGCCTTCTCCCACTCTTTGCGCTTGACGCTGCGCATCGCCTGTCCGTAGTTAAGCGGATCGTGCTCAAAAACAGCGTTTACGACCTCTCCGCTAGCGCTGCCTCCTCCTGACGAGCAGCCGCTTCTGCGCGTTTTGACGCACCGCGTGTTCCATGCGCCGCCCGCGTCCATCGCTTTCCTCTCTTCTTCCGCGTCTGCTTCCCTCTGCGCGACAATCGTTCACCGATGCTGCTGCTGGTATGTCTGACTCTTCCATGTCTACGGCTCGATCGTTGACGTCCATCGCGCGCTGAAGTTGCGCGTTTTGCGCCTTTGTCAACGTCTTGATGTTCTTGATGTGCTGCGTGACGACCACTTTGTTGTCACGCGGTAGTAGCACCTTGTAGTCCTTGGTTTCTTCGCTGAAGCCGACAATGATGGCGCGTTTCGAGCGCTGCAGCAACGAGTTCTTGCCCGGGTCCCTGTACACAATTATTAACCAAAGAGGTTCTCTTTGGTTAATAATTGTATCAATAGCAATAGAAGTTTTACCGGTTTGTCTATCACCAATAATTAATTCTCTTTGACCACGGCCAATAGGAATTAGACTATCTACAGCTTTTAGACCTGTTTGTACAGGTTCTTTAACACTTTCTCTAGGCATGATACCTGGAGCTTTTACCTCAACTCTACTTTCTAGTTTACTATTAATTTGACCTTTACCATCAATTGGTTGTCCTAAAGCATCAACTACTCTACCTAAAACTTCAGGACCTACAGATCTTAATGCGCCTAAAAATGAATATTTAGAATTACTTGACCAACCTCCAATAATTATACCGTAAACACCTAATGATGAAATTGCTAATAAATATAAAATACCTATATTTAATTCGGTAAAAAACATACCAAAACCTAAAGGTATTACAGTCCAACTTAATAAACTTAAAAAAAAGCTAAAATAGGTGCAAATACAAATAAAATTACATCAGCATCTGGCTGCTAATAAATAATAATAGATATTATTATTAGTCTTTTCTTCTTTTTTTCTAAGTTTAAATCCTCTTCTTTTTTTCTAAATTTAAATCCTCTTTTTCTTCTAAATTTTCTTTTAAGTCTAGAATATCTCTTTTGTTAAAAAAATTTAAATCAAAAGGATCTAAATAAAGGATAATAGAACTCAAACTTAAAGTTATTAGAATGCTTGTAATAATTTTTAGATTTTCTGCTAATTTTGTTTGTAATTTTATTTGTAATTTTTTTATTAATTCCATAATTTTTTAATTTTTTTTGAATATTAACTCTTATTTTTTAATAATATCTAATAATTATTTAATTATCTTTAAAATCATCCCAGACTATACTACTGTTGCAAAAGCAACGTTCAAATCGGCAAAGCCGAAACCCTGCTCGCTGAAGACGACGATTCCGCGCAGATCCGGCGTCTTTCCCGTCAGAACCTCGAGTGGCGACGCACTCTTTGCGTGTGCTCGCGTGGGGCTCCGGTTGAGGATGTGCACGGCGTATTGCACCGCGTCTCCCCAGAACGTCAGTGGAAGCGCGCAGGCAAACATTATACTACGCGCGAGGTTCAGCACTGTGCGGTGCATTCGTTCCGCCTTGCCGTTTGAAGCTTGGTTGCGCGCCTCCGACACTTGGCGTGCGACGCCCGTGCGCTCGCAGAATAGGTCCACGTTGGAGTATTCTCCGCCGCCATCCGTGCGGAGCACGTGAATCTTGAATCCGAAGAGCTTCTCGAAGGGAACGAGGAATGCCTCAAATTGCTTCGCCGCAGCGTCCTTTGTGCGCGCGAGGAAGACTCGGCAGTAGTTGCTCTTGTGATCAATGAAGTTCACAAGGTAACGATTGCCGAGCCGATCCTGCGGCGTCATGGGATCCTTGAGGTCCGAGCAGATGACGCCGCCGATGCGATCGATGGGCGAGTGCGCGCCGCTTTCCTGTTGAGACTACGCGTTGTGCGTCTGCTTGCCCTCGAGGCACGACACGCACGCCATGCGTTTGTTGCTGCTCAGTCGAATGCCCGATGCCGGGTCTCGCGTCATGCGTTCGATCGTGTCGAATGCGAGGTGGCTGAGTCTCTGGTGCCAATGCAACAGCGAGGCTTCTTGCGTCTCGTCGGCGGTGGTTTCCGTTGCATGCGCTTCGAGCGCCGCCATGATCGCGTCGCCGCCTGCACCCTCCTTGTCGTGCGAGGCCTTCGTCACGACATACAGCACGTTACTGTCGATCACGACATTGAACGCGACTGCACCATCGCTGCGCCGAGCGAGCGAGCGCTCGTCACCGTCGTACACGAAGGCAAACCCTTTGTTCTCGAGCTTGCCGTACGACAAAATGTTCTTTGACAGTCGCGGAGCCAGGTATACGTCCGTAAGCGTCACGACAGCCTTCGCGCCACGCGCGAGAACCTCAAGGCGCACACTGCCGACACGCGTCAGGTGAAGCGACTCGCCGTCTGCCATTGCGATCTCGTGGCTGCAAGCCGTCGAGTTGAGTAGCAGTGACTCGTCGTTGACGAGATGCCGGCTCGCGCCACTGTCGAGGATTTAGTCTCCTCGGTCGGCCCCCGTGGCATCGGTCGCCTCAAGCACGAAGCCACGCGTGCCGTCCGTGGCTCGTGCTCCGTCTCTCGTTGCAAGCACGAATCCGCATGAGTCGTCCATGGCTCGCGCTCCGTCTCTTGCATTGCTCGCTGCTGTGTCCTTGCTGCGCGAGCTCTTCTTTTTCCTGTTGCGCTTCTTTGTGGGCACAACACGCTTCTCGGTCAGCGCGAGGATCATGCTGGCGCCTCCACCCTTTGCGGGTGTCTCGTCGTCGTGCACGACACGCGCGCGACAGTCAGCTGCGATGTGTCCCGATCGCCCGCATCGGTAGCACGTGATCGCGCTCTTGATTTTGCCTTCCACGTGCGCGGCGACGACCTCACGACCCACTGCGCTGCTGCCATACTCAATGGACTGC